CGAAAATCCCTGTTTTCACTGATATGTAGTTGAAAAGGGAAGTAGTATAGATATGGCATATTCTTATAATGCTGGGAACTCTCTTTTCACTAAGATCCAGAAGTGAAGTAGTGTTTCTTCTTTAAATTTGTGCCTCACAGTTAAGTCAACATGAAGTTCATTCAGCTTTTTTGTCTCTTGTGATGCTAAGGGTTTGGTATTCTCATTAGTAATAGCAACTGGATTGAGAACTCAGTCGCATTTGTTCACATTGAGGTGAGGAAAATATTGTTTCATTTTATCTTCCAGCTCAGAAAGATGTTCTAAAAGGAAACTAGAACAAATGTCAGTATCGACTGTAAGAGGAAACATGTCAAGTTCAACTTTTGACCTTCACAACTGTGTTTTTCTTAAGAACCCATTCAGTTTGTCACTTGATTTAAGACTGTTCTCTTCCTTTCCCTGCATTTGAAGAATTCAGGTGTTTGAAAATACCAGTTAAGTATGCTACCTTAGAACTCTTTTTTATTCCGCGGTTAACAAGGGTAGCAAAGTCCGGTTTTTCTTCGCCTGTTTGTAATGAATCATTTCAAAATTTCTTTTTTAAGTTTATAAAATCTGAAGAATATTGAACTACTCTCATATACGGCCTCGGTTGGCGGAAAATTTCTCGACAAACATTTTTGGCACGAAATTCCACGCCGCCATATTACTACCTAATTTTTTTGTCTACATTTCAAACTTAAGCCTAAAATTTTTGCAAAAACACAATTTTCACACGTGCAAAAGCCACGTTTTGAACACACAATTTAAGCTAAAAATCTGAAACAAAAACAAAAAATTTAGATAGCAAAAACAAAGTTTCTAACCAAAAATATTTAATAAGAATCCATGTACACAGCAATATGTTTTAACTTAAAAAAATCTGATGTGTACACCACATGACTTCCTTGTATGGAACATTAAATTATATGCATTTTTTCTTGCATTTCATTTAAACTTATTGATTGAATTAAATCTACTTTGACGACAGCGCATAACCCACAATAGAATAAATGCATTCTTTAAAATTCACTCTAGTATTTGTTTACCACAGCGACACTCTGGCGCTAGATTCACTTAACAGTATTATATTTCATTCATATTATAACTCATAATGCACAAAATTTATATCATTTAAAGAATAGAATTATCTAATGGTTGCCACATGTTCTTTTCAAATACTATAATAAAGCTAGAACGATGTATAAAAGAAATTAAGCAAACAAAACAAGAAAGGAACAGTTTTCACAGACGATTGAGTATTTCTCATTCAATTAATTCAGTTTTCACTTCGCGACAAGGTAAAAATACATAAAAACTCAAAATATTTATATTAAAAATTACGAAGTAAATCTTAAACACTTATTTCCTCGAAAAAAACTCCAGAAAAGATCAAGCATGATTTAATTGTCAATAATAAATGAAGGCGTTATCTTTGTTGTATCGAAGCTAAGTTTCTCTAGATTGGCAACAAATCCACTAGTCTGCTGTTTCAAATGTAAACAACCAGTGGCCGCCGTAAAAAAAAAAAAAAAAAAAAAAAAAAGGCTTAGCGGCACTTAAACTTTAAAATTGTTGATAATTCTAATAATATTGCACACAGATTTACTAAAGGCATAAAAACCTTAACCGGAAGATAAAAACAACATAATTCAACCATTTTTAAAGCAAAAATTGTACAATTTACAAACATATAAGAGTAAAGAAACTGAGATCACTGAGCCGGGGTGACAGAGTGGATATATATATAAATATATTTATATACGTTTGGTGCGGCCGATTGCAACCAAAATACGAGGTGCACATCTACATGTTATAGCAGTCCTATATACAAAGTTTCAACATTCTGAGACTACTCGTTTTTGAGTTATGTGAGATACGTACGTACATATGTTCGTACAGACACTACGAAAAATTCTCTTCAGAATTAATTTTAAAGCAGTTTTATAATTTTTTTGCAGGAAACGAGTCTTTTATTCTGTCCCTATGTACAGATATCATGCAAAAACATCATTAAATTGCATTCGATAGCAGTCAAAATGGATATTTTTGTTGAAATATGCTGCCTGAAACTTTTTGCGATTACAATACTTCCTTTTACTTTGTACAAGGAAGTAAAAATCACAAAATTGCACATTCTATGCAGCAGGGAAATCTACGAACTACGCACACCTAGCTGAAATAAATTAGCATATCAAATATAAATGTCAAAGACTACCATGTACACAGTGCTGTGTTTAAACTTGAAAAAAAAAAAAAAAATCAACGAATTGCACAATCTAGGCAGCGAAGGAATCTACACACGCCTCACTTTAATAAATTAACATAACAACAATAAATTTCAAGAATAACTTGGTCAAGTAATTGATCCACTTGATTTGGATCAATTACTTGTCCTCTTTTTATTAATTGCAAGTTCTTCTCTGCTTCTTACTCATTTGCATTTAGCAACTAAAAAGTTCTCCATGTTACACAAAAACTATAGCTTCTTCCATATTGTACGAAAACTATACTTTATAATGACATGAAATATGACTATCAGCAATCAAGTAGACAGAATTTACATGCAAACCACTCTGTTTCAGATTACTGCCAGATGGCCAAAACAATATAGTAGTGCTAAGTTCTGAAAATTTTCACAGGCTAAAAATGCTCCTTTTTCTTTCCCAATCAGATCTTTTTTGGGGGGGAGGGTGCATCCGTGTGTGTGTCATCTGCCAATGACCAACTTTTGTTGCAGGGATGTGAGGGAAAGGTCAGTTCTCCATACTTTTATCTCGAAAGAATGCAGAGTTCAAGTGGAAGTTGGGAACCAAGAAAGAATTAAATAATTCTCTTTTTTCATTTTGAAATAGAGATGTTTCTGATTGAGAAAAACAAGGCAATAAAATAATATTGGTGACAGAAAAAGAATACATTGTTGTTATAATCCAAATATTATAATTTATCATAGTAAGTATTAATTTGCATTGGCAAGCAACTCATGCAGATAAATTGAGAAGATAACTTGTAGGAAGTTTTAATAAATTTGCATGTTAGATTCATAAAACCATCAGTTATTTTTGAGAAAAATGTGGATTGTGTGTTGATAACCAGTGATCTACATCGTAACTGGCATCCTCATACTATTTCAGTTATGGCAAACGTTTTGAGCTTGTTGTGTTAAAGTAAAAAAACCTTGCTTAAATCTGCTGATATGTCGCATATAGAAATGTTAATAACGTTTGATATTTGCAGCTCTAGTAAAAACAGTGTTATTTTTCTGAATTTTTTTTTTTTTTTTTTTTAAATTTATTTTTCTCATTTATTGTTGGATTTTAATAACGATGAAAATCAAATGGTACGAGAACACAAAAACATATGGGTATTCTTTAGAAAAATAGGTAGGTTGGTGTATTTATCTATTAAAAAGAAAGTAAAGCACATTATTCATTATGTTTGTGAATTTTTTATTGCTGAAGATTGGTAGTTTTTCAAATGAAGAATTTTATGAATTTTGTGCCTTTCAAAGCAAGCGTTACTAAGTTCTTCTCGTATTTGGTTTCTTAATATTATTTAATACTAAGATCAAAGTCTCACAAAAGTATGTTGATGAAAAATTGTTAGCGATGGCTTTCATCGCTAAATTTTTTTTATGCAGCTAAATATGATAGGTAATCTGTTCCAAGAACTCGTGAACTAAAGTGCATCCGTCTGCCAAGAATGCACTTAAACATACCCAAGATGAGCACAACACATGTTGACAATGACTAGGCTGTTTGAAGACACAGATATTTTTGTATTATTTAATTTTTTGTCACTGTTGACGTTCTGGAAATGTGTGATGCATGTCACCCAAAAATGGGTTTGCAATTAATAGGTTTACCATCACTTTACTAGCAGATCTGCTGCAGCTGGGCTTTGCAAATTGGAGTTCTGTGCATGTTGCATGGTTTGGTCTACAAACTGATTGCTGGAGATTACTGAACACCTGAATTTGCTACCACACTGCATCTTTATCCACACTACATCTTCATCCACACTACATCTACAAAATGCTATATGCAAAAATAGTGATTTGATGATTCAGGCAGAGAGTTGCTGTCAGTGGTCATGTTGTTGGTCATCACCCTCTCTTCCCTCACAATACTGTCACTGCAGTGTAGAGTACAGATCTAGTCTTTGTTCAGTATGTTTCCTCCTTTCTTTAGCTGTCTATCTTCATGCCATTTTTATGGAAGGTAGCAAGCTATTTCATTAAAAAATTAAATAAATTGTCAACCAGTACTCAGAATCAGAAACATTGTTTGGTATGAAATGACTATTAGGGTTACTGACTTGAATCCCATTAGGCAACTATGGAACATGCTTAGAAGGTGTTTAGTTTTTCTCCATGGCTCTTCCTAGAATTTACGCTATGAATAAACAGAGTTGCCTGACACCCCATATGTGAACTTGTTCTTGGCATGAATTCATGACATGCCTTTACAGCAGAGGTCATCATACTTCATATTTTTAGACTGTCACCGAGAAACCTTTTTCGTGATCAAAGAGTCTCTTGCTTTATTTATCACTATTATTTTATTGATAATTTTCATTACCTATGTCAGTGTCATCTGTTATATGTCATGATCTATTAAAGTTTCTGTGAATTCAAGCAAATACTTTTATTTTTATTTGCCTTTTTCATTTTATAGTTTAACTTTTGGGTATGCATATATTAATATTGGAAGTGAAAGATTTATTGTGACATAGTTTCTTGTGTATTTATGAACAAAATATTTTCAGAAGAGAAAATAAGAGGTTTGTAAACTTTTCAAAAATTGCCTTGGAAGTATAATATCTTAAGGATAGAAAAATACTACCCTGGTTTTTTTTGTTGGGGTAGAGTCAATAAAGTTTCACCACAGAATGAAGTTTTATAAAATACTATCGAAAAATCTCTCTTACCTTGGGGGGGGATATTGAAGAATAAAATGAACCTTTCGTTTTTTTTACAGGCAGAAGATGAAATAAAGGTTTTAGAAGAACCAGAGAAAATGCTGCAATACAATATTACTGTTTCAACTCTTAACTCAGGATATAATGTTGAAATAAGTTCCCAGTGTAATGTAAATGGAATTTCATATCGTTGTGAGTCTGACTCTTGGACTGAAGATGAAAGCTCTTCGAGTGATGATTCTTCATCAGATTCCTCTGATTCTTTTTTTGACAGACTGCATGAAAAGTACATATTAATTAATTTAGATTATTCTATTTTTTAATGAAAATGTATAAAAACTGCAATTGTATGTTTTATTTCTACTATAGCTTTAAAGTACACTTTAAATCTTATGATATACTTTGAATGTTTTATTCTAGTTTTTAAAATTTATTTGTTTAAAACTTTCATTGCTTTTATGGCAGACCTGTTGTCTATCCATTGCATTAAAGATTTAAAATATATATATGTGTGTGTGCACACACAAATACATGGGAAATTTATTTCATTTTTAACTTTAAAATAATGAAATGATTGTAACCTTAAAATGATGAAGAGTTTTTGAAGCAGAATGCGACAAACAATGCAGGTTTTGTTGTGCATATTTTATGCAGCTGACAGATTTCTTGTTCAATTCACTGAGCTTTGCATATGATGTACTTCCTTCTCGGTGTAGTTTTTTTCTGAAGTGGGTACTGTAGAGCTCAAAACTGGTATATTCACTGTAGTTTAACAAAAAAGGAATAATTTCCTTATTAAGTCAGATCTGTGGTTATTTACTGACTTTACAGTATATTAGCATTATAAATTTCTGTATTGAAATGCTGAAGCACAACTTTTGTATGTAATTTTAGTGATTTGTGAACCATTGTGTGATCCAGCAACCGTTAAAGGGATGCATGGGGCAAAACAGATGGAGAGGCACTAATTTAGTGAATATTTCTAGCAGAGAGGTATTGTGTCTGTAGTGATTATTGTCATAAAGACAGTATGTTTTATATCAATCTTTATTGTTATATTCGAAAGTTATTTGAAAGAAACTGTAGCTACACTTTAATTTAATTTTTAATTGTAGATATACAGTACAAAGTCCGAGATCGGGACTTCAGTGATTCCGGATTTGAGTTTTTTTCCGGGTATTAGATCATCAGTTTAAATGTATTAGGGTAAAATGTAGAAATTATAGAATTTAAAATATGGAATAGTTGTGTATGAAATAATGAAGCATTTATGCCCTTAAGGGAATCAAAATTTAAAAAAAAAAAAAAAAAAAAAAAGCCTCAATATTTATTTGTTTGTTTTATTAAAAATTTCTTTCAATGTAAGTTGTTTGAGTTGCTTTGTTTTTTGTGCTGATAATTTTTTGTTCAGTTGCAAAGGTCCATTGTTCAAGCTCTGATTACGACATCGAGAATTTCCACTATTGAAGTTTTTTCATTCTCAACAACTTCTCTGTCACTTTCTTAACTATCAGTAGCAATATTTTCTTGATTTAGAATCATACTATAGATTTTGCCATTCATTAGTTAATTGAATTGTTATCCCAATGAAAAACTTGTTAGATCATCTTCATATATTAGCACGCATTTTTTTACAAATACCATCAATTGGAATATTTCATCACTCTGTTTGCATATCTGAGTTCACAGCTGTCACTGTATTTATTAGCAGCCACCATGAATGTATCATGAAATTGCCAACTAGAGACTAAATTTTTTTCTTATTCCTATTGTGCGCTTGAGGAAATTAGGCCAGAATTACACCTATTTAATTGTTCATTACATTTATATCTATTTTCCGCATCTGCTTTAACCCTGTAAGCGGCAAGGCCGTATATATGTATGGCCTAGAATATTTATTGTGATATCTCTAAGAACATATATATACGTGCATATTAAAATATGTCAGTGAAATTGAGGCAATATATCAAAAGAAAACAAATTCAGGTATGAAATACCAGAAGAGTTTTTGCATTTAAAAAAAAAAAAAAAAAAATTGTTCTCATAGTAGTTTTGGGAAATTTGTGCTTTCTTAGTGAAAACCCTGGCCACCCAGAGGGTTAATAAATAAATGCCCTACGTAAGGCTTATCTGAACAACAAATCAGATATTCTTAATTCAAACAGTATTATATTAAATCTTTTTTAGCCTATGAATATCATTTACAAAATGCACTTTCTTTGCATAGGGAAAGAAATTTCTCCTTATCAAACTACTCAAAGCTTTATAGCACATTTGTCTAAGGTTGTAATCGTTCCATACGATATTGGCAACCTAAAAGGTTATCATGCTCTTCAGTATTCAGTTATTAATATTTTTTTAATTGTTTAGATATCCCTGAATGAGTCATTTCTTTGACTATTGTGTATTGATAGTCATGCGAGGATAAAAGAAAAAACTAAATAAACAATGATTCACCAGATTGGCATCAGGGATGTAAATGTAAAATGAATGATTTTTTTATTGTTGAATGTTTCAGTTTAAGATGCATGCCAAGCTTTATTCTCTGAGGGCAAGCAAAACATGACTATGGAGTTAAATTGTTAATCATACAGATTTATGTTAGTAAATGATTGTTTTTTCAATATCCGCATGGAGGTATTTCGTTTAGTGCCAATGAAATGAAGAATCAGGACTCTCCATGTTTTATTTTGAAAAAATATCAAATGTGCATATGTAAAGCACACACAAAAAAATTTCTAAAAAAAAAGGGTTGTTGGTGTTCTGTAGGTCTGGATTTTAGATCATTACAGATACTGGATGTTCAGGTTTGGACTTAATACTGTATTTAATTTAAATTTAGAATATGGCTCTAAGTTTTGAAGTATAGAAAGACTTATTCCTGGTAGACTATTGCAATAAATTTATGTATTTATATGTAGATATAGAAATTATGTATTGGAGTATTTCAGCTTCTGCTTGAAATGTAACAGTATTTTAGACAGAAATATTTATCTAATGAATCTTAAAAGACTTTAAAATGTTTTGATTCTCCTTATTGTTCCATATTCTGAAGTAACTCTTTAGTGTAAAGAGCTAAATGCCTGTGTACAATTAGCAGTGTGAATTATCTATTTTTTAATTATATTGATTTCTTCTTAAAATACTAATAAATAATTTTATTATATACTAATAAATATTTGTATAAAATATTACATAAATATTTGTTGTATTTATAGTCAAATGCCTACAAAAATACCAAATATAAAGACGAAAGGGGAACTCGATTTGGATGTAAGTAAGTTTGTTATTGTATACATGAGTTGTCTCAGTTTTTATATGAATTTTCATATTTTTATTTTGTTTTATAATTTTGAAGTGAAATGATTAGTTGTAATATAGTAGTTGAATTTATTTTGAGTTGAATATCTGTGTGGTATTTCTTTACCAGTAAGTGTGGATGAACACATTGTTGATAGTTATTATTATCTTGGAAAGGTTGCTAAAAGAAAGTAAACAGCTGCATAATAATTAATACTGAAATAAGAAGAAATCTGAAATATTAATGTATATCTGGCTATCTTTAGAGAAATGGTTACCTAGAATCCTCGACCAGTAGAACCCATTTCTTGCATTTTTTAACCCTTTCCGGCACGCTACCTTTTAAAGTCGGAGTTTTGATTTTAAAAAAAGGTAGGCAGTTTAATTAGGCCTAGAGGAGTACACAAGTAAAATTTTGTGAAGGTGGTTTCTGTGATGATTCTGTGGATGTGCCCGAAGAGGGCACACTGATTGAATAGAGCTTCGAAAAGAGTGCTGAAACGAGCATTGTTGTAAATGAACAGACCGATGAGATGCGGAGAAACAAAGAATACGAACTCTCAGTTATCCTGGATTATCGGTGAGCCCGATCTGGGCACGCCTAGATTCGCCGTTTGATTTTAGACAAGATTTCAATGTAAAAGTTTAAAACTAATATAAAATAAAGAGATTAGCATACAGCCAAAAAATAACATAGAAATATCTTTTTAAACAATTTTTTTATACCCTAAAAAAAATCTGGAAGATTTCTTTGAAAAATGTGGGTCTAACTAAACATGGCTAAAATATATGGACTGGTTTGTGTTGAGCTGCAATCTATTATAAATAAAGAAGGTTTGGAGTAACCTATAAATCCTTTTTTATTCAATTTTTCTGTGCATACAGAAAGAAATTTTTAGGTGTGTTTTTAGGGTTAAGAAAGAAGTTTAAGAAATAAAAAGAATTTTTAGGAATTTTTAAGAAATTTTTAGGGTTAAGAAAGAAGTAAATGCTTCTAGAGTTAAGATAAAAGGCTCTGTTGAAAGATATAAAATAACTTAAGTAAATGGATTAATTCATAATAGTTTATAATAGAATTTAAAACCAAGAATGAAAACATTTTTTAGAATTTAAATAGTATTTTAAGTAGTAATTTGAACTTCTGTTTAAAAATCAGCTTCCCCACGAAAAAAAAAAAAAAAAAAATCGCTAATTGCAAAAATCCAAAATCAAAATAAAATTTTTAAATGTTGAATAATAGCAATTTTAAAAGACTAAATAATAAGACAATACTAGTGAATTTTTAAATGTTGAATAATTTTAGTGCTATTTTTTAGTAACAGCCTACTCTCTCCAAGAAGAATTCCAATTGTCTTGTCAATTTAGGCTAAACTTTCTTAAATAGAAAACTGCACTTTAGGTCAACCTTTTTTTTACTTCCATCACTTAGTACTTGAATTTCCAGTCACTTGGTTTTTAAAACATTTTGAAGGCAAGTTTGTTAATTTTAACGTGCTAGTTTCTAATTAACTACTTGTTTTGAACTTAGTTTAAGATTATCATTTTTGATCTTCTCATGATTTTGAAACTTTTAATGTTCTAATATGTTTACTTCTGTTTTTGAAGTTGAATGAGAGTGTAGGGGATATGTCTTCTAAAGTAAGCATTTCATACAAACTAATTATATTCTTAATTAAACTTTAATTTTAAGATTATTTGTTATTTTGTTTTACAAGATTCTTTTGGCTTAAAAGGATTAATGTCTATTTGAATTGAATATTAATTGTGACTTATGATTTGAATCTGACTTTAAATTTGAGATTATTTGCTATTTTGTTTTACAAGATTCTTTTGGCCTAAAAGGATTAATGTCTTTATTTGAATTGAATATTAATTGTGACTTATGGTTTGAATCTAGCAAATAATTTGATGCTTACTTGGAAGTAAGATGAAACACTCTCTTAATTTATTTGTTGTGAATTGATGGTAGATTGGTTTATCCCCTTGATAAATTGATTAATCTGTGGTCAATGACAACAGCTGTTTATTCAATGTTTAAAAATTTACTTTTGGTTTTGGATTTTTGCAATGAACGGTATTTCTTTCCTGATTTTTAAACAGAAATTCAAATTACTACTTAAAATACTATTTAAATTCTAAAAAAAGGGGGAAAAAATGTTCATTCTTGGTTTTAAATTCAATTAGTGTTCCTTGGAGAGATGGTATATTGAAAGTTTTCCTATTATAAATTATTATGAATTATTGGTTTATTACTCTGCAGCTTTAGCATAAATTTTAAGCTTTTTAATTTACTTTTACTTATTTTATTTTAAGTAAATGGAGATATAGTTATTACTTCCACTGATAAAAATAGGTGTGAGAAAAATTAAGTAATTTCTGCACCTGTGGGCAATTTAACCCGCGGGAGAGCGCGTGGGGTGTATCATACCCCAACCCTACATAAAAGTGGAATCTTCTTAACTTGTGAAACTGAAATTCTGTGCTGCTTTCAGTAGCTGAGTTTCTAGTTGCGGTTGACTTTCAGAACTGCTTTTTCTTTGCCTGTGTGTTTCAGAAAAAGATTTATCAGTATTTTGTTGGAACTGGAGTATGACACACCCCACGCGCCTGTCCGCGTAAGTGTTTTTCTGACTGAATATTTAGTTCAGAAATTTATTTCTAGAGTGTAACAATAAATATTTCTACTCACAAGTGATTTTAAAGTACTTGACATTAAATTCTTAAAAATTTCTAACTGCATTATGGTAAAAAGAATGACCCCTATGAACTGGAGATGCAACACCTGTGAGATTTATTAGAAATATTTGAAAGCGATGAAGATTGCATTTCGGAAACTAAAGATGAAACGAAGAATATTTTCTACAATGTTTTGGTTTTGAAAAAGATAAAACATTAATTCCTGATGTTCCTAAAAAAGGAAAAACTTTTCTTGTGCTTTCAACATTATATAATGATCATACTATTGGAGAAAATAAAACGTCAGGAATTATATGTTTTAATAATATGGCTAAAGGACCAGTGGATATGGGGAATGAAATGTCAGCCAATTATTCAGTTGCCAGAATAACAAGGACGTGGCCAATGGTAATTTTCTTTCCTGCACTGAATGTTGATGTAATAAATGCTTGAATTATATTACATTCAACTGCTAATCCACCAACCAGAAACAGAAGTCTGTTTTTGAAGGACTTACCATTACAATTAATGAAAAAAGTATTGAACAAAGATCAGAGATTAATACTTTTCTAAGAAATTGACGTACTACATGCAAAACAAAAGCAGAAGTTTCGACGAAGAATTAAAACGAATACATGAAATTCGAAACAACTAAGTATGAAAGATGTGATAAATTTTTTGCCCTCGCACCAAGGACAGAAGAACGTAAATGCAATGTTTAAAATGTGAAAACATTCTGTGCCAAGAACACATGAATGTATTTCGTTCAAAGTGTGAAGAAGTAAAATAAGCATGGTGTATTAGAGATGCAATGAAACTTAGAGGCATGATGTTTATTTTTTTATTATTTTTATTTATCTTAATTTTAACTGTAAGATTATTTTGGAAATTAATTTTTTGAAACTCAATTATTATTCACTTATTTATAACACACAAGAACAAAAAAAAAAAAAAAAAAAAAAAAAGAGTCAGTTTTAAAACTAAATAATACTATTTTTATTGTATTTTAAATATTGGTATGTGATACCCCACGCACCCACTCTAGTAATTTTTCTTGGTGCGACTTCCACCAGGTTAATTGGAAATTCTCGAAATAATATTACAATATATAAGTGGGAAGCTTTCCCAAGATAAAAAAATCACTTCACAAAGAAGCACATTTTCCGATTATTTTAAGTTTGCCTTGTGAAGAACGAGTATTCATGTTTTTTTCTTTGGACCTTTACAAAGCTTTTTTGTTTTTGTATACTCCATTCTGCAATGGTTCAATGTTCTCAAGCAATTCTACAGTTCAGAATTACATTATTTTATGTTTTGCAATTAATGAAAGAATTATTTAACGGTTAGGGAGCATTTTCTTGATATTAGAAGGTAACAGTATGGTACAAGTAATAGTTTTTTTTTTTTTTTTTTTTTTTTTTTTTTTTTTGCATGTACATTTAAGAAATAATAACTGAACTTTCAGATATTAATTAGTTACTATTTAAAGTTATTTCCTTATTAAAAATGTATTTTCTCTCTTTTTTTATTATTTAAAAATATGTAGAATTGAAAATCTTTTTATGGTTGAGGAAATTCTCCTGACTTCTTAAAAAAGAACTCCTGATTTTTTATTGTCATAGGTTAGCAAATACGAAATAATATCATTCATGGGGCTTTTCTAGCCTTGTATTGTATAGCTTCTTTGCATGTTAAATTTCGAAACTCTGCGGTCGCAATTTGAAACTTATTTTCCAGGTGGTAAATATAATGAATTTTATGGGTTCATTATCCTATCCATTCAGATATTAAAAATAAGAGCATGCTACTGAATGGGAATTGAAAAGTTAATCAAGCTGTCAAATGACCGTGGATTTAAAAAAGGAAATTTCCAAAAAAAAAAGGTATATCTGTGTATAAAAGAATTTATGTCATTAATTCAAAGAATATAATTTTTCTACTAATTTAATTACTTAATGCTAAAAAAATTAAGAAATTTTAATCAATTGTATTTGTAGAATATAAGTATACTGGTAGTAACATATGCTAAAAAAAATTGCTTTTGAAGAATAAGGTGAGCTCAGCATTCTAATTTATAAAAGTGCCTGCTTAAAAAAGTTAGAAATGCTGGCTTAAAAATATTTCTAACACAAAAAATCCTAGAAAATATATGAATGGGGGCAGAGCATGATAAATTTTGAGGTGCAGTAAGCTTTTTTTCATTGAAAATATAAATAGTGATATGATAAGTATTTACACCAAAGGAAGATAATAATCATGTGGTACTCTGGTATGGGAAATAAGCATAAGAAAATTTGGAATAGCACAAGAAACTAGAAGTATAAAGCAAGCAAATGTAGAAATTATGACCAACCTGCAAAACCTGCCAGAACTGAAACTATGTAAGCACTTGAAAACTGAAAAGGAGAAACAATCTGTAGAATAAAGTCAGATAAGCCCCACCTGGAAAATTCATTGAATTAAAGGATGAAGTGTTATACATTTGGAAATTTATTAATGAACATCTTGGTGCATTCAAATCTTGTAAACTCTAAAGCTTAAATTGATGTCATTTGAATTTCAGTATTCGGGCTTGAAATGTAAATGCTATTTCTAGTCAAATAAATAAAAAAATGAGTAGCATGTTTTCATTATGAGCATATTGATTTAAAATTATTCAATTAATTTATTAGTGTATTTATTATTTATTCTATAAGTAATAAATATAACAATAAATATATATATTGTGTAGTGTTTATATTATGTTCTCAAATGCTTTTCCTTATTTGGAAGTATAAATTTAATATTCATAAGCCATCCTGGTTTTTAGTTTCATTGTCTTAACTGATTCAACTGCTTTGTATTATTTTCAACTTTAGGACTTACCACCAATTGAAGATTTGCAGATATCTGTGTCAGAAAAGGAAATGAAGAAGATTGGTGTTGTTCATGCTGTAGTTGATAAATTAGGTGAGGCGTTTAAAACTTGCTTTTGAGTTCTTTATTAACTTTTAGTCCTAAATAATTAATGATCTGTAATAAAATACTATAACTAAATTTAATTTTGAATTTCCTTTGGTTTAATCGTGCATTAATTTAAAATATTCTTATGTCATTTGCAGTTAAATTTTATTATAAGTATTTATAATTAATTTAATTCCATAATAAAATTATTTTTCATCTTCTTTACAGTTGTAATTAAAGCCATAAAGGATATGCAGCCATTAGATTTAGATTCTGTGTTGTTTGTTTCAGCAGGAAAACCTCTAGGTCGAGTAAGTTTAGTTTTTTGTTTAATTCTGTTTCGCTGATCTAGGTTTTGTACATAAAATATTCATACTACAGTGAAAAGTCGTTAATCTGGATTCGTTGGGACTTCGGCGATTCCAGATTATAGATCATCAGTTTAAATATGGTAAGATGGCATGCAGAAATTACAAAATTAAAAATATGAAACCGTAACTTATGAAATAAAGAACAATTATGATCTAAAGGGTATCAAAATTTACAAAAAGAAAAAACTTAATATTTATTTGTTTACTTTATTAAACATTTCTTTCAGTGTAAGTTGTTTAAGTTGCTTCGTTTCATGTGATAATACTTTCTCTTTAATTCTATTAAACAGACATAATTTCTTGTTTAGAACAAAGTTCTGCTGTTCAAGTTCTATAATTGCTGTGTCGAGAATACCGACTAATTTGTCAATCGAAATTTTTTCGTTTTCAATAACCTCTGTGTCACTTTCTTCACTATCGGAAGCGAATTATAATGACGAGGAACTTGATTTAAATCATATCAAAGACGGAGTACGTCGAGATGAAATACTACATTTAGTAAGGAATTATAAGCCAAATAAAATAAAAACATCTGCCCTGAAGATAAGGATAGTGCTGACAGATCAACTTCCAATTCATTGCGTGCCGCGGCGTTCTGAATTCTGTTAATAAATACTGAATTCTAAATTACAAGTCTTTAATTTTTCTTTTAAGGTTATGCAGTTATGTATAATGTAAATAGAAAGGTGCTGATTGGTTTTTTCTTAACATGTGCTTAAAAAGTGCTTATAGGTGCTGATTTTTTTTTCTTAAAATGTGCTTGAAAAGTGCTTATAAGTGCTGATTTTTTTAACTAAAATGTAGCTACAAACCCTTATATATGTGAGGGAGCCAGAGACAGAGTCTTTGAAATTTAAGGAGTCGGAGTCTGTCATTTTCCCTGCCGACTCCACAGCCCTGCGCAAAAGAGCTCCTGTGCACTATATTCAAGAATTCTGAGCCCTCAGTTTTTCAGTCTTTTAGCAGAGACTTGCTAGTGGCGACATCTGTGGGTCAAATCAGAATTCATGTCATGTGAGTGGAATCCTTTACCACTAAGACAAAAGAGCTGTTGTACACTGTATTCTAGATTCACTGTATATCGGATTATTCGAAGTTAATTACTGTATCTATGCTGTCATCTCTGACATATAAAAATCAGTTTGTGTAATTTTTGATACTGTAGCTTTTGAAATTAAACTAAGTTATGAGAAGAGCTTCGACTGTTCTTCGTCAAACAATTCAGAATCATTCTTAATGTTTCTGTTAATGACATTAATGATGATCCTGTATCCTAATTTAAACAGTAAACATATTAAAGAAAATACTAACCAGCTTTTCAAAGTTTGTTATTATTTATACATGCTAATGTATTTCAAACACAAAAAAGCATTTATGATTGTAAGTTAGATAATGAAAATTAAGTATTAGTAATACAGATGAAGTAAAAATTATGTAATTATTTTTTAAATCCTTTTCCCTTCCTTTTTTCACAGGTCTTTGATGTTTTTGGACAAGTAGTTGATCCATTTTATTGTGTCAGGTTTAACACGAGTGAAGACATAAAAGATAAAGGAATTTCTATTGATGATGATGTATTTTTTGCCCCAGAGAAAACAGATATAACATCATATGTATTTGTTGAGCAGCTGAAAAAGTAAATTGTCTTGCCTTATAACTAAGTTTTTAAATATTTAAAATTTGTTTCTGTGAATTCTTTTTCTCTGCATTTTTATCATTAATGTTAGAAACATCTGCAGTCAAATCTTTCATTTTCTCTTGTCATGCAGGGCTGACTATGGTTTGGATATAGAGGGAATTCCAGATTTTTAGGCTTTTTAAATCCAGAATTTCCAGATTTGTGTAGTATAGATGTGGTATCTTAGACCATTCTGATATTATTCAAATGAAAAGTTTTGCTAAAAGAAAATTCTTTACCTCTTTTCAATTATTTGAATACTCAGAATAACTGTTTCCAACAAACACTCGAACCAAAACTGTCAAGCTCTTTAAAATGCCAAAAAGTCAGTTTGTTTCAAAAATAATTTTTTAAAAAAATCAAATTTTTTCGAATATTATTTTTAATAAACAAGTTTATTTTTAGGTTAAAACTAGAAGAAATATTTTCAATTGCTTGTATGGCAAAATGTATGTCAGCCTTTAACCCTTTGAGGGGCATTATATAAAATAATTTAAATTGTGGTAAAATTTTGAATGAATTGTAACTTGTAGACCCTTAGGACATAAAATTGAGACTTAAAAAAATTCTAGAGGAAAATCCTGAATTTTGAGGGCCAGCATATATTTTATACTGGTACCCCTCTACAACATTTTTTCCCCAGGCAGCTGCCAATTTTTAATTTTTGTTTTTTTCATCTATTTTTGCGAATCTTCAGACTTACCACTAGAAATTTAAAATTAGGAAATGAAATTTATGTTTTTTGCACTTTAATGATGCCATACAGCTGAATATGCTTACATAAAATATGGGTAAAAATATTTTAAAAGTGAGTTAAATTCAATATTATTATTTTATGAAAAATTTTAGCAAATATGCGTACATCGCTGCATGCAGAAAGCATATCATGCTGTAATTTAGTTTAATGTTACAACAAGATGTTACTCAGACGAAAAATTTAAAAAATAATTTAAAATTGAACACTATGACTCAGCTGAAAAATTATGTTGCTTTTTTGAAGTTATATTTAATGCTTTAGATAATATATAAAAGAGTATGCTTCACGCTATGATAGCAAGAATCGCCCTCTCCTCCCACACACATACACTTTCGGTTATCAGGCCCAGTAAGGGGCCCTTTTTTATTTTATGTAAATATCGGTTATTATATATCATTTTGTTCATGAAGAAAAGCTGTTAAATGATTTTATTATTTGATACACCTCAAAGTTCTTATTTCTATAAAAACTTTAAAAACTCAAATATTTGTCCCTTTTTTTTCCTTTCCAAAGATAACCTTTTGCATCTAAAATTGGTCTTAGAAATATTTCCCTCATTTCACCAACTGTGAAGACTAAACCACGTACTTGTATCCTAACTCAGGGGACAATTTTTTCTTGTATTCCTTATTAGTCTCTCATCTGAAATTAACAAAGACCTAAAGAATAAAAGCATGCTATCAAATCAGTAGGTTTTCCATTGCACTAAGAAATGGACCTAAACTGCATGTCAATTTCCTGTACTTTTAGAGTTACCCTTTGTGTGATGTTATCACAGTCCCTTTGTGAAGATGGCATGACCCCTGCATGACAAATTAGTGTTCCATCACCTCTTTTCATTTATAGGATTTTGGAAAACACAAAACAGTGGGTGTGTTTGGAGGCTAACAATGCCACATTTAAACTCTACAGTTGTGTAAAGTTTTTTGATGCCAGACAAGTCTTTCTCGTGGGAAAGGGTGTAGTTCTGAAATTAAAATTTTAACTAAACAGAAACGAATGAGAAACTCAAGTGGTATAAAAAAATCGATGAAAAGAAACTAATATACTTGTATTCAGTCCTAGGACAGGGTCAGTAAACTTCCCATACCCCCATGAACATGATACTGAATCCTAAACAACTTGTAAATTAATCGTAAACAAATTATTATATCTTTACATTGTAAACTATTATAATGTAAAGAAATTCTGTCATCTCACAGAGTAGAGAAGGAGAAGCCTGGTGCTGCTATCTATTGGCAAGGTACACTCAGTAGGGATGCCGGTATATATTATATATACCGGTATTAAAATTGTATACATAATCTTCTTTTAATTATCAGTTTTGGTTGAAATGCAGTAACTGTAAAAGTTTCAGCATGTGTGCGTCATATATTTGAAGATTGTGAATTTTTCCCTATCCTCCAATGGAATTTATGAATATTCAAACATGATACCTTTGAAAGAGGCATATTAATTTCATAACTGCAAAATATTGAGCATTCATAGGGTAGTGTTGCCATTTAGAATCAAAAGTAAACAGTAGAAACTTATGATTACAGCTTTTGGTGTAGAAAAATTAGCATTTTTTAGAAGGTTAAAAAATTAACAAACATCTGGTATATATTATATACTGGTGCCCTTCAAAGGGTTAACAGATTGTTTATTAAAATCTGGTTAAGCTTTTGTCTTCGTAAAATTTTACATTTAACATTATTTTTAATTTTAACAAATTATTTGTGACATACAAGTTTTTAAATATTTTTAGTAACAATATAATTGTAGTTGATTTCAATATGGAATTAAAATTACAAAGAATGGAAGACATTATTCTAATGATCTTTTGTTTTTTTGCCATGAGATCCACAAAAGTAAATACACATAGAAAATATATTCTAACATTTGGATTTTATTGTTAACCAGCCAAATTCAGTTTGTACTCTGCACATATTGGGTAATAATAATAACGCAATAAAAAGATATAAAAATAAAAAGTTCTTGGTATTATTTCCTTATTATTCCTAAACACAACACACTAATGAAATTTTGATTCTGATATTGCACTTACTTTGCTAACAAACGTTTTGGCAAATCTCAAGCAGGTGTCATTAAGATAAGGTTTTGCCTGTTAGAGCATGTGAAATCTTATCTTAATTGCATATCAGTCATTGCATGTATAGATTTTGTTTGCAACTATTGTAGTATGTTGGTGCTTGTTGAGAAGAATTTATTAAAGATGAAGCATGAATTACAATTTTCTATTGATATAATATTTATAAAACATAAGCTGTTTATATGCACACTTTGTATTTTTGATAACAATGCATGATAATGCAGTAATTAAATGTATTAACCCTCTTCTTCTATGGAATTATGTGGTTGGTTTAAAAAGTGCACAAAAAATAATGCTCTTTGATTTGAGCCTTTGACCAACTGTTGTAGATGAGCCTCTAAGAAAATCAGGTTGTAAATGAAGATAAACAAATGAATTTTTTATTTCTGTAGATAACAGCTGTAAATGGTAAGTTTGGGGAAAAGTAGGGTTAGGGAAGACTTAAATATTGCCATATTAACAGTGTTCTTTTTACCACTTATTGTTACATGATACTCCTTCTCCACTTGAATCTCCAGTAGATACTGAGAAGAGGGTAGTACTGTGCACTTTGAAATTCACTTCTAGAGAATTTAATTTTTTCCATCTTTATTACATTGTATTTTTGTTTCACACTGAGTTTCCCAACGAAAACTTTTTATATGCTGAAATATTATAATTGAGCAGATATAATCATATACATGGCTTGCATTAAGTAAAATCTACACAAGAATGTCTTCCCTGCTTAATAAAATAAAGCAATTAATATAAACTTGGAGATTAGGGCAAACATGTCGTGAGAGGTTGCATATGACATGCCTCTTCAGTTGAGTAGCTGATTAAACCGAAATCTGTTAAGAGGGCACTTGTAGAAAACTGTGTCACACTTATAGAAGATATTCTAAAATATTACTTTTCTCTATTTTGATTCCACATATTAAAAATTTTATGATATTTATTTTTTGAATAATAGTAACTCATTTTATATTCTAATTAATATTTCAGCCAAAAAGGGTCAGATGCATCTTGGAAAGACAATAATGAGCCACCTCCAGAGGTAAGTTTCAGTATTAGAAGTGAGCAATTCTAAAATTTTTTAATTATGTGATATTTTTTTTTTTTTTTTAAATTATGTGTCTTTCCTGATTTATATAAGTATACTGTTTATTGAATCAAAATGGAATGCACTGGAATCGTTATTAAAAATATAGCAAAAATTTGTCAGTTAAGTTAATTGTATGTTTCCATGTATATGAAATTGAACATTATGTGTTGCCTTAGGCTAGATAAATAAACATAAAGAGTTGAAATTCCTGAATATATTATTGCCAACTCTTTTGTAGCATACTTTTTCTACATTAATGAAGTGGTCAAAATTTGTAAGCACTCTGTTTAGAAATAAAGTGTGCCCTACAAATGTATATCATTTTAATATTAAACTGTACTGAAATTATAGATGTCTAAATTTTAAAAAACTCATTTCTTTCATATAATTCAGTAAATATACAGAAGGATTTTAAATATCTGACAGAAAAGTAAAGGTTAGGTAGAGCGGAACAAAATAAGCTGAGTTTATAATGAAATAAGTGGTTCAGAAATGGTGCCTTTTAGTTGTAGAGGGTGTTGTTGAGATCAATAGGTGAAAGGGGTTAGCTAATGTGAGTCATGATTCCTTGTCTGGATTTGAGTCCTATGCATCACTACAAATTTGAAGCTTGTCGATATATATTTTATCTATTACGCTGTAGTCAGAAATGAAACAGCTGTTCAAAAGATGTATAGAGAAAGGCTTCATAAGTAGACAGCTGCTGAATCACTAAATGTTTGAACATATTAGTTGCTGCTGCATAATTTGTATTGACTTTACGTGTCTGTCTGACTTACCTGTTCATATCTTCTTGCCATTTCCACGTGCATGCATTATATTACAAAATTTGCTTTTGTTTCTACCTACCTGTCTGTATATTTGAATCAACGTTTTACCAAAAGATAGTAATATATCCACATGTTGTCTTTGTGTTTGTGATTAGGATTTGCAGTCAATAGTTAACCTACCAGTGGCCAAACAAATTAACACTACTAAACACTGGCCATTTAGTCTGGATTTGAGTCCTAGTAAACAGTAATTAAGATTAACACGACGAACAAGTATTAATTTAGAAGTCAAACAACAGAAATCAGCATTATATTTTGAAATTTTCACAGGACTAGTTTTGATGTTTTTACCGAACCATAATCCTCAGCTGTAAAAGTGCACACTTAAGTAAAAAGTCAAGGTGATTCAGAAATTTCTGTCGTTTCAGGCGTAATTTAGTGAAACGATTAATGGATGAAGGCATGATAAACAATGCAGAAAATCAAACTAACTAACCAATAATAAAACACGCACAAAACAGTAAAAAATTTCGCTCTGAAAATGAATACAAAACAAAATGTTTGCAACTAAAAAGCATGGAATCAGATAAGCAAAGCACAATAATATGTTAAAAAAATTCAAAATACAATGCTGATTTTTGTTGTTTGACTTCTAAATTAATCCTAGCAAACAGGTAGGATGCTTGGGATTTTTATGGTTTTCTATATGTGAATATGAATCAATTTTTTTAAGAATGCTCTATAAGTTATTTTTCCCTCCTTCTTAGCATGCCTTTGTGGTGTAGTGGTCAGCACACTGGGTGCATATTCGAGAGGTTAGAGTCCCATTGAGGGCGTTGTTCATTTTTCATATCACCTTGGATGATAGCCATGGCATGTTTTGCGTAAACAGTTAGTGAATTGTTGATCACATAGCAAACTGCCTTTTAGTGTAGATAGGCTATGAAAGCAGTGGTAATGTGATTGAATTCTCATAAATCCTGCAAACTTGTATCATCAAACTTTTGCAGATAGAAACTGTTTTTTCTAAAGTTCCAAATGAAAAATTCACGCAACTTTATTACAAGGTGACCATAGTGGTTTGGAGATAACCTACTGTATGCAACGAGACATACCTAGACATGACATTTGCTCTTTCTTTAGCATTCTTGTTTGAATTGTCGCTGAATTAAAATAACCAACATTCAGGAAATCAAAAAATAACATGCACTTTATCTCAAAATGATTCCATTTTACATTTCATGAGAGTGTTGCTGTGCATCTGTATAAATAGTTCTTGCATTATTTGTCCCTGAAAATATTAGTTACCAACTACCAGTTTTTGGTGAATTTTATAAATAGCATACTTTTGAATGAGAACTTAATAGATTGGACCCAATATTCTGAAATGCTTTGAAAAAATTGTTGTTAGCATATGTTTAGAAATTGTTTGTTTTTAAAGGAATATCCTCCCACTGAATGCTATTTTTATTTTCTTGAGATAAAAATTTTAATTTATATGTTTTGTAATTAAAATTTAAATGTCACGTTGCCATATTTTTAAATAACTAATATAAGTTTTAAAAATCTAGGAGTTATTATACATATACAGTCAAAAGTCGTTAATCCGGACTCATCGGGACTTCGGCGATTCCAGATTATCGATTTTTCCAGATTATAGATCATCAGTTTAAATCTCGTAAGATGGCATGCAGAAATTCTAAAATTAAAAATATGAAACCGTAATTTATGAAATAAAGAACAATTATGATCTAAAGGGTATCAAAATTTACAAAAAAAAAAAAAAAAAAAAGCTTAATATTTATTTGTTTACTTTATTAAACATTTCTTTCAATGTAAGTTGTTTAAGTTGCTTCATTTTATGTGATAATACTTTCTCTTTAATTCTATAAACAGACATAATTTCTTGTTCAGTTACAAAGTCCCGCTGTTCAAGTCCCGTTAATTGCTTTTTTTTTTTTTTTTTTTTTTTTTTTTTTTTTTTTTTTTTTTTTTTTTTTTTTTTTTTTTTTTCTTTTTTTTTTTTTTTTTTTTTTTTTTTTTTTTTTTTTTTTCTTTTTTTTTTTTTTTTTTGTACCGAAAATACCGACTAACTTGTCAATCGAAATTTTTTCGTTTTCACTAACCTCTCTGTCACATTCTTCATGTCTTTATCCATTTTTTGTTTGTTGAACATCGAAACATACTTTCGTTTTGTAGATCCTTTGGAAGTTCCAGCATCAGAAACTCTATTTGACATAATTGAAAGTTCAAGTTTACTTTTATAAAATAGGTTAACAACAGAAAAGCTAAATTTAAATTATGCAATTAACTGTGACAATGTGCCGTGTCACACTGGGCAATATTTTCTTGGTTAAAAAAGGTATTGCTACTTTTTTTCAGCACCATATTTTTTGCCTGAGCTCAGTTCCTGCGACTTTTCTCTTCCCTAGAATAAAAATCTATTTTTAAAGGAACCATTTTAGAACCACAGAAAGCATTAAAGCGCTTGTGACTGATCAGCTGAAGACCATTTCAATTTCAGAGTTAAGCAGTGCTATGAACAGTAAGTGTAAAATCTCAGGGGATGCAGGGCTTCCCAAGGCAACTGCTTTGAAGGAGATTTACTGAATTTGTAATTTAAATGTAGACAAAAGTGCTTCTAAAAAGTCATTATTTTATTTATCAACGTTCTATACCAGTTTGTTACAAAATCATGTTAATTTGAATCACATAATCACATCAGGGTTGCCACGCTACCTGGAAAACCGTAAAAAGTAAGTGAATTTGAAAATTGACCAAATATTTCATGGAATAGTCAGGGAATTTAAATATTTTAATCAAAATCTGGAAAAGTCAGGAAATTTCATATGGATATTTGCCCCCAAAAAGCGAGTTTTGCGCCAACGTTGGAACCGATCACTTTCTAGGCGAATTATGTATCGCATGATCATCATTTGGTCAGCTGGCAAAGAGCCAATTTTCGCTGCTCCAAACAGATTGTCTTGAGGGAAAGGCAAAGCAAGTTTCCAGCAACTTTTGGTTTCCAGTAACCTCGAGTATCGAGAGACTTCCATACGCATATGCAGCGCATGTTGAAGTAAAGAAAATATGTATTCTCGTATAAAATAAAATCGGTTTAATCCTAGTATAGGGCAACATGGAGGTTAGAATAGCCTCCATGTACTGTATACGCAGGATTTGGGGATATTATGATGAGCAGTAAACGGGTCATTTTAGTGTTGGCGACAATTTTCAAAATCGTGCCAAGGCTGTAGCGTATACTAGGATTTTACCGCAAAATCTTTTTAACCCTCCCTTTTTTTTAATAAATGCCTTATTTGTCATTTTGCAGTAAAATAAAAAAAATAGTAAATAGTCACCTAGGCTAACCATTTAATGTAACTATATTTGCCAAAATATCGTTGATTATTCCAATTCAATTTAAAATAATTATCTTTATTTTAACCTTATTTATGTCATTTAATGTTGCTTCTTCTCTCTAAATTTATTTATTAATTAATAGTAAATAAAACCTTCAATTTTCAGGAAAGTTTCTCTGCATAATCCTGACATTAATTCTAGCAATATGATGACATACCATCAAGAAATTTAATGCATATATGTTTTGTTTATGCAGGCTACTAAATAAATATAAAATACCTGAATTTATTTAAAAATATCATTAAACAGATTTCTCTTTCGTTTAGCTGAAAAATGTCTGCACTGAATCTTCATTGGAGAAAACCACTCCTATTATAGTTATAATAGTAATGCTTTGTGGATTATATATTATAAGTCATATGTGATATATGTATATATAAGTCATATGTAATTGGCAAATTTTTGTGTTTTCAAGTGGTACCATAATTAATTTACCTCTTAGCACAGTCAATGTGCATTACGCAGATAGACTGGAATTTTCTTAAAACACACCTGGAAAAGTCAGGGAATTTCATTATCCTATTTGAGTGGCAACCCTGTCACATTTGTCCACAGTGGAAACTTTTGTATTATTATAGATATTTAAATCTTTCTAGATGTTTTTATTTGAAATCTTTACAGCATAATGCTGGAATTCGTGAGTAATATTTTTATAGCTTGTGGAATGCATTAATCATATCTTTACTGAAAGTTCTGATCTTCTTAAGGTATTGGTGATTCCTATTTGGAAATTGTTTATTTTGTAAAATTAGTAATTTTGAAAGTTCTTTCAGTGCTGCTACTCAGAAACTGTCATTAAAATGTTAAATACATATTAAAAGGAAATGTAAAAAAAAAAAAAATTCTTGATAGTTGAATTGAGTGAACACTTCAGTAGCAATTATATTTGGAAGGGCACCATTTTAGAACAACTTTAACAGCAGTAAACCCTTTAATGGTGGCTTTCTCCAACAGATTACCACCTATGAAAGTAAGCACAATTTCTGATAACCTATAATATCGGCATTGAACATCACCTCCACAGAGTACCAGAATGAACTTTTACCATCAGCAGTCACAAGTAGCTTATTTTGTACCCAAGATTAATTTTTCCCCCTTTCTAAATAATAATCAAGGTTGCAATAAAAAGTCTAAAAAATATTAAATAATAAAAGAATGGGAATCTTAGATGGAAATCAGCCATATATGGAATGCATTGTAAATAGTATATTTTTCTGTTCTGTAGAGTAGAACTGTTTCATGTAACCTGAAAATAAATATTTCATTATGCTTATTAATTTTGTAGCACATTGATTATTCTGACGATGAACAAGAAAATGCGGCTAAGAAAAAAAGAAGGGCCAAAGGTAGAGATCGCGGAAGTGATGAAATTTTTGTTCTGCCTCGTAAAATTCCTGCAATGGGTACGTATAGAATGCATTAAATTTTGTTCTGAAGTATTTACTTTGCGAGTTGCGCACTAGAAATGAACGCTATGATCGAAATTCCTGTTCATTTGCTTGAAACTTTGATCATGTGCATGTTCGATCAAGATGTTTTTGCATACCAAATTTCATCACGGTCGCAAAAGTCCTTTTTTTGATGCTTCGATTTTTTTGCAAAAGAGTGTATATATATATATAGCTTATGGCAAGCAGTAACCCTACTTAGTCTTTTGCTACTGCTGCATTGCTTTGATTTTGTGTGATGGTTTTTTCTCCCCACCAGTAGAGAGAATATCAGTTTTCAGAAGTGATAACAGTTCTTAAATGTCCTTGATTTTTCCAGAAAATAATGTTTCCAATGCTGGAAAAACTGCCTTAACTCTGCAAAGATATTTTGTGAAATAATAAAGGCACTGGAAATAATTCCATCTGCCTCTGACTGGTGTCTGCGTTATTAACTTGTTACCACCATTGACATTTATCTAAATATTAAATTATGTTTAAGGCATATTTAACTACAAATAATAGCTTGCTTCCTAAGATTTGCTTAGATTTAGAACATATTGTTTAATGCCAATTTAATTTTTGTTTTTATTGATCCAGCTCAAAACATACAAAATCAGTGTCAGATTTAATAAAAAATGGAGTCCCTTCGGTTGCCCAATAACAAACGGGGAATCCATTGATATTGGGCGTTCTCTGTTGTTTGATTGGTCTGGTTAATTAAGCAAAATAGACTGAAACCTCAAGCTCTGTAATTGTAATACCATGTGATAGGAAATGCATGAAAGTACATACATTAATAGTCTTATCAGGGTTCGTACGGTCCTTAAGAGTCCTTAAATTTTTTGAAAATGATTTTTGGTCCTTAAATGTCATTAATTTTGGCCAAAATCAGCTGAAGGTTCTTAATTTTAATCATCTGAAATTTCTGTCTGTTTTTATGACTGCCATTTTGAGTATGAATTAGCATTTTGGAGGAATATGTTTGGCAATTCACTGACACATATGATTATCTTTTGAATGGGTTATAATTTGTTTCTATTTTTAATATAAATAATGGGATAATCGAGTTATTAAGTAAGAAGTGAAACATAAGGATTTCAAAATTCATTTTTTCTAATAAAGAAATCTTAAACAACTTTTCGCTTTTGGGAATGTGAATTCTTTTATTAAACGGTTCTCAATTTGGTGACTTGTCAACATTTTGGCGATTGTAAGATCAGTTTCTATAGAAAATTTTTAATTCCGAGATCTCAGAATTTTTAGACGATTTTTTTTAAAACATCACAACATTGATAAATTGCATTAAAATAATGGTAATATATTGAAATTATGTTTAAAAAATAACATTAAAATAAAACATCTCTATTTTTCGCTGTCATATTATAAAGTTTCATTTTGGCAACTTATTATACAATATTATGAATCTGAAAAATAAGACATAATGCTATAAAGCGTAATTTATGAAACAGCTCTTAACAAGAGCAAAATTAGCTGTGTATTTAATTAAAAGTGTCTTCTTTTTAATTTTTTTCATAGTAAGCGTTTTCTCCGTCTCAGAATATTCAAAATTCTCAGAATATGCCTCAATTTTCTCTATAAAATTAACTTTACACTTTTTCCCTCTTTTTTTTTTTTTTTTTTTTTCCAAAATATGTCTGCCTTTTTGCTGTTACAGAATTGGTAGGGATAACTTTTCTCTAGTATTTTAGACAGTGCAGCTTGGAAAGTTTAGAAGGATTTGAAGGCAAGATTCTAGAAGATTCGAGAAATATGTAACAAAATGAAAAATGTCTCCATGGTATCAACATGTAATGGATGTATTTTACAGAAATTTTGCGATGAATTTCTTACCAACCCTCATAGGTTCCTTGTGGAGAGGTTGGCAAGTTAGAAGATAAGCACGCAGAAACTAGCGAGAGCATTGGTTTGCATATTGAGACAAATCTCTAATTGTTAGAAGAGAAGGAAATCGATATAAACTAGCCAAAATGTTTGGGAAGGCTTCAAATTAAAATGAAGGATAAATATTTTGTTGAGTGTTGTTGTTACAAAACATAAATGTTTTGTAGCTTTTAATGTGTATCCTAATATCGTTTAAGAATCAATGTCATAAATTATATATGTTTTAAACTGTGAAAATTTATTAGCTTTTGATTTTAATAGGCTTTTTAACAAATATTGTTAAAAAATAAAATTTAATAGTGGCCACGTAAATCCATTATGACTAAGGTTATCTAATTACTTAATTTAATCATTTATAACTAACTGCTTACCCTTAAAAATTATGTCTACGTATTAAAGCGACTTATTGCCTTTCATTAACACTCACTGTGGTCATAAGATAAAACACAAAAATGTAAAAATTCAAGTAAAACTTGTTCTTTGCATATAGTGAAACTTAAAAATAATACAAAACAACCTATCATCTGTGGTACTTTAATCGCTTATTGGAACATTAAAGTATTATATTAACTGGGCTACAACCCCTTAGAACTCTACACAAAGCTATGACACTAACTGCATCAAACAGAGCCTGACTAACTTTCAACACTTCCCAACTGTGTCTACATAAGGCCTTTCAGGTTTGTTCTAATGAGCAGGTCTCTCTCTAGACAAGCAACAGCGGTGACAACCTTCAGTCTTTTGTCATGCTGATTATGATCTTACTTCTCATTTTAACCTATGCCTTTTGACATAAAATCTACCTGCTATTTACTAAACTTCTAGACTGACTAAGTAGGTGGCAAAATGAGACATTAAAAAAAAAAAAAAAAAAAAAAATCGACATAAAGCTAACTATTAGTAAAACGTAAATGTCACTTATCTTCTTTCAAATATGTCCAACTATTATAAGTGTAAAATAGTTAATGCTACTTGATAAATTTCATGCAGTTTATTTTATTTTCAAACTTATTAATAATTATGTTAATTAATTCATGTTTAGTAGTAATGCATACTACTCAGGGATCTATTTTATTTTTAGAATGGTATTACAAAAATGAAAATCAGGCATAGAATAATATTTTTAATTGAATTTATTCAGTTCCCATTTGCTCATAGGTCTTTAATTTTTTCATTCTGTGTGCAGAAATGTGTACGAACCCTGTCTTATTGATTATAAAATTTGGTCAATGTAAAAAGATATTTTATAATAATGATTACTTTTATGTATAAGATGCTTTAATTATTTATTACATCAAATAAATTACATTGCACAAAAGCTCCTTGAGACAGGAAAATTTAAAATTATATTTTATAAATCCCTAAAAACCATATGTAACTTTCAAAGTTCATTAATATAAATTTTAATTGCAAAAGGTATTATTAACTCTAAAATGATGCTAATAAACCAAATCATAATGTTCTGAAAGGCATGTGGCTTCCTTGCAAAAGCTCAGATGTTTTGGTAGGTTGCTAACTAAACATTATTTCCACAAAGCAGAATTTATTAAGCCAAGAACAACAGATCCTAGTACCCATTTATCTCAAGTCTTCTAATTTGTATAGTCTGTGTGTTAGCTGGAGCCTACTTTCATAGCATACTTAATCAGAAATCATGTTTTAAAGACTATTTCTTAAGCTGAAATTTTGTGTATTAGTGTGTAAACAAAATTAAATAACTTTTTTTATTATTTGTTTTTTGTTTTTTAATTTAGTTAACAGTTTTTTCATTCCTTAAGATCATTATTGAATTTTTGTAGAAGTATATGTGATTTCTTCTCAGGCTAAAATGCATTTAAAAATACCAATTTTGTGTTTTAAGCAAGTGTTAGAACTCATTTTTATATGTCATTCTTTTAAAGCCTAATATTGAGTTTTTTGTGTTTCAGGAAGAGACAGCCCAGTATTCATTCCTCCCCCTTATCAATCTGCTGGCATACGAAACAATGTTTTCTCCAGACATTCCAATACAATGCCTTTTCATTCAAATATGCAGCCAAACTCATCTTTTGTTTCTGTCTCCAGGCCCCCATCACAATCGTTTTTATCATCCCCAAATTTTACTTCTATGCCGCCTAATTATCACAGTATTCCTTCTCCATGTTTCAGCCCAAGATTTTCACCTAGTTTGGGCTCAAGATTTTCACCTAGTTTGAGCTCAAGATTTTCACCTAGTTTAAGCCCAAGATTTTCACCTAGTTTAAGCCCAAGATTTTCACCTAGTTTAAGTCCAAGATTTTCACATAGTTTCAGCCCTGCACCTACAGCACAGAATTCATTTCAAGTGCATTCGCCACTGCCATCACCAACACCATTTCATCTACAACAACATATCGTATCATATCAGTCACAAAATGCTTTACATCCTCCACTGCAACCCAATTATCAGCCTCCTCGGTTTGGCCAGTTCTCTGGATTAGCGTCACCCTCTCCAGCACTGCAGTCTCCAATATCCTACAACTCTCATGTATTGAGACCTGCTTCACATTTGCCTGGTATGAGTCCTTGCACTAATTATTTTGCTCCAGATATAAGTTCACCCCCACCTCCCTTGTCTGGACCAATGCCATTGAATTCACAGTGGTTTCAGAACCAGTCCGTAAGGATACCAAATTCACATAATGTACCTCCTAATACACCTTTAAGCATTCAGATACCTCCACAATTGGCAAGTCCACCTCCTCCATTACTGGCAATTTCATTTCCGTCAGGTCAACCTGTTAATAATATAGCACAGCAAAGGTTCCGTGCACCTCACTTACCACCTAATTTTCAGTGACACTGAACTTTAAGAATTTCCTGTATGTATGTAAATACTTTTTATTTATTTATTTTTTTTTCAGCATGTAAGAAGAAATGTTGTTGTTTATTCTTTCATTGTAAGCAGTGAAAAATGTTTGTTTTTATGAAAGACTGAATAAATGGTGATTTATGTAAATATTATGAGCTTTATTATTTTGTTTTCGTCTCTAATATCACATGAGCAGGACATACTATTAAATCGATTTCTTAAGGTCTTCTTCATTTGCAATTCCTCACAAAGTATTGACTGGCAAGTAGGTTCTTAAACCTGCTTCGGCTTTATAGCCAAATATAGCTTCACATGGACTGCAGTCTGCTCTAGAGAGATGTGCTCTATTTTTTCATAAATGTCATTGCATTGTATTCTTTCTTTCAAGCCAAGTGTGTAATTTCTTTTCAGTGACTTTTAACTGAGCCGTAAGACTGTGTTTTGTCTTTCCATAAACAATTTTGAATTCCATTCCACATTTCACAAACTTCTTCAATTAAAGCAAATTCTCTGTTATTATCACTTTTCAAGACACATAATGCTTCAAATATTGTGAGCACATCCAGTATATGATAAGCAATTTCCTTGGCTCATTTAATTTGTGACATTTTTAATTAAATAAATTTCGTTAAATGGTTTTGATAAGCCATCATAAAAGTCTTCATCCAGTTGTGACTGCCAGTTAGTGAGGTCGGTTTGACACCTTGAACGAAAATTAAGTGCATTATTTTGTAAAATGTCAAATCTGCCCTACCTGTCTTGTTGTTGGATAAGAGGTTGGTTTGGCTGCAATCTGTTAACACTGAATTTTCAACTGGATGGACATTTCACTTAGTTGAAAATTCAGTCAGTTACAAATCACTAAGAAAATACAAATGATACAAGTTCGGTAAATACTGTATTAGATGCTAAAACGATCTTGTTATGTAGGAGGTTTTGCAAATACTGAGTAGCTAAAATTCTAGCAATTAGAATATAAGTAAGGATGTAACATTATGGAGTTAATAAACGAGATCTAATCATGATTTTTTTGCTCTACAAAAACAAGCACAATTTCCTATCATAAAGTCACCTTAAGCAATATTAATGGCCTGAAATGGAGACTTTATGAAGTCGTATTCTTTTACTGCTGATCTCGATTTGGACAATTTTCTCATGAACAAAACAGTACGTGTGATAAAATGTCTTTGCTGAATTATAGGACTATTAAACATGACAGGAATCACAGCAGAGGAGAAGGAATCCTTGTTTTCATTAAGTCCAGTATCAAATTATCATTGTACCCACTTCTTCATACCACACAGAGAACCACACTCATTCTCGTCATATCACAATGGTACTCTCGGTACATAGAAGCAGGAATATTATATTAAGTATGGTTTTCATTGCTGCCTGAAATCCAGCAACCAAGACCTGCTGTTTAACTCAAGCCTGCCTACGATCTCTGCTGGCAGCCTAAATGCAAAATCATGAGCTTGGAACAGCAAGAGAAATAACTTAAATGGTTGCATCCTAGGAAAATATGCAATGAAAAATAACATAAAATAGACCTGATATAAATAGACCTGATCTAATACTAGTACATATTAAATCATCGCCTGCATTTGCTAGATATAATTTTCCTTAATAACATCCCTCAAAGACCACAGCTTGGAGTTAAATATGAACTTTTGCCCGACCACGGTTCTTTGCTATTTACAAATTCTCCACCACTCTTGATGGCTTGGTCAGAGTAATATTAATAAACTTGCTGTACTAGTTTCGAAGCTTTAAATGTACAGCTGCAGAAATGGCAAATGACCAAAGAGAAGCCAGTAATAAGGATTAGAGGAAGGAAATCAAGTGACTGGTGCCCTCTAGTGATGAAAACTGAAAACAACTATAAAATAATTTCCTTAAAAGCTGAAGGTAAAGATGGAATGCAGTTGGGATCGTTAACTGAAACTGAAAGATTTTTGTAAATGTTAAACACCTCTAGAAAGTCTAATTCACCAAGTGTTGAATAATTTTGTCAGCAGAAAGTTAGAAAATTGGCAACAGAAGATTTATGTCTTTCTTTTTTCCTAACATGTACTTTATGTTTCTTAGCACAAAATTTTAAGTCTTTTATGTTATTATAGTTTGGTTAATATATATTAAACCACATTGTCAGAGAATCTTATATGTCCCAGGAGTTCATATCTGGAATGAGGTCCTTAAGTATAGAGAGAAAACGGCCCAAAAATTGAATTTCTGTACAATACCTGCAATTTTATAGCTAGCTAATCGATGAAAAGAAAAAAGGTAACAGAATTCTTGTAATCTTCTAAAATCAGAAGGCCCTTTCTGATGTCTTGTGATAATAACTTTTTAACCACTGCTTAAAATTAGGTGAAAAGCCTCTGTCCATAGCAACTGGTTTTAAGTAATTTAGGTCTTGATCAAGAGCTGATTTGGAGGAACAACCTTGAAGAGCATGGAAAACTAAGGAATAAAATGAAGCTAACTTTTGTTTAGTCGAATGGCATGATTTGACTTGTGGTGGAAAGCAAACAGATGAAAGTTTTACGGTAAACAATAGCATTCAAGCTGAATATGTTGTGTGTGACCAAGATGACTCAAGTTCAAAACTGACGTGAATAGCATGATCAGTGAAATTCAGTGTCGATACGACAGAAATTAAATTCTCGAAGTCTCGTCTTTAGGTATTTAAGTGCACCTTCCACTGGGACGTTAGTGAATAATGAATTTACATAAAAAACACCAAGATGAAATTTCTAGGGAAAGGGCTTCTTATTTTGTAATAAACTCTACTGAATTTTTTATGGAGTGTGTCCTATTAATTAACAAAGTTAACAACCTTGAAACGAAATATTCAGCTTACGGGAGCGAGACAGTATCCGCTAGCTAGCATTTGATATAATAGGGACTATTATGAATTTTGGTACACCATTTATCATCTATTTGCACTGGGGAAGATTTACCACCATCGCAGGTACAGTAAAAGTCCAGAAATCCGCAAAGCTTGGGACTAGAGGTTGTGTGGATTTTGCAGATTTCAAGACAGAAAAGATAAACCATAATATTCAGGCTAAAAGTGCAAAATAAATAAGGCATATTAGATACATTTAATTAAACTATTATATACATTATTGCAATAACTTATTATATGCATTAAATTATTATTATATATATAAATTGATTATATTATTCATTGTATCTATAATAATAAAAGCAAGTGTAATGTGTCTGTCTGTCTGTCTGACCAAGCTCTCCAGCCAAATCTATCGCACGCAGGGACCTGGAATTTTTTATACGGAAGCACAAAGGGGCTGGCCACCAGACCTCGAAGCCCGATTTTCGATTTTGAATTAGAAAAAATTTAAAAAAAATTATTTATAATTAATTAATCACGGTTTTTTTGACTCACTGATATTATTATTTGTTTTCAAATAACGTTCGATTGTAACAATTGATTTCTTTATTCTAGCGTTAGTTTGCTGTTTTGACGATACATCTATAATAATAAAAGCAAGTGTAATGTGTCTGTCTGTCTGTCTGACCGAGCTCTCCAGCCAAATCTATCGCACGCAGGGACCTGGAATTTTTTATACGGAAGCACAAGGGGGCTGGCCACCAGACCTCGAAGCCCGATTTTCGATTTTTGAATTAGAAAAATTTTAAAAAAATTATTTATAATTAATTAATCACGGTTTTTTGACTCACTGATATTATATTGTTTTCAAATAACGTTCGATTGTGTAACAATTGATTTCTTTATTCTAGCGTTAGTTTGCTGTTTTGACGATACATTAAATCGATTAATTACAATTCATTTCTTTTTTGTAGCTTATTATTTATAATTAATTAATCAACGGTTTTTTTTGACTCACTGAATTATTATTTGTTTTCAAATAACGTTCGATTGTAACAATTGATTTCTTTATTCTAGCGTTAATTTGCTGTTTTGACGATACATTAAATCGATTAATTACAATTCATTTCTTTTTTGTAGCTTGTGGGGGGGGGAAGAGAGAGAGACAGTCTACATTTTCTACACTACTATTCCTGCGCTATTCACTTATCTGCATTTTCTAAATGCACGGGCAACGCCGAGCGGGTACAGCTATTATATATATACACAGCATCGAGGTTTGCCGATTTCGTCTTGTGCAAAGATTTTGGATTCCGGTGTTGGAATCACAGTTGCTGTAAAATTTCAACAGCATATCTTTATTTTTTCATATATCATACACAATCGTATCACAATTCCAGACGATTCTGCTATAAAATGCACCTATCTCCATCTTTTGCAGAATTTGCACTTTTTGCATTACCATCAATGCAACGTGTTTACGTTTTTCAACGTCACAAGCAGTAAAATCAGGAGTGCGTTTCTTATCTGTAATTGTATTAAAAAGGGCTGAAATTTAAAATATTCTTAATTTATCCACAAAATATCTGGATAAAAAAAAGGCAGCACTAAATAATCTCATGAAATAAAGCTTAGAAAATACAGCAATGTGAATCGGGAACTTGAAAGAAGATTTCAGTGAATCGTCTGCTTTTCTTACCTCGATGCAGATTAGAGGAGAAAAAACTCTTATCATGATGTCAATAATTTGGTATTTCTGTTATGACTCATTATTATTCAATAATTATGATGTCATTATTCGCTAAGTATTTTTTCTTCAATATTTTGTACTCAATGTTGCAGTTTCCAGAACCTATAAACTGAATGTTTATATTTTGAGAGGCAACGCGAATTTCAGGAGTTGGCAGATTTCAGGTCGACGGATTTTCGGTATTTGACCGTAGTTTGATGTGATAAATCTTCAGTAATGTTAGTGACCCCTTTTGTTGATTAGAAAAGTGTAATTCGCAAGAAATTTGTTCTGGAAGGAGTAGACGTCATTTTTCCATAACAGCATTGGCCACTCTTAAGGACAGAAGTGGTGGGCATTTTATTGTAGAGGCACCTAAATAGATGGCCACCATTACCTCCTATGCCGGGGTCCTTCGGTATTGCCGTCGGGTTCCTCTAACCACCATACCATCTGGACGGCTGAAATTCATATCTTACAAGGAAACAATAGACTGACTTTTGAAGCGAAGGCTTCAAAATGCTGAATCGAACAGCTGGTTTTTGTTGCATGACAATTCGTCGTCATACAGTTCTATTCTTGTGAAGCAGTTTCTAGGAACAAAAAGCGTCACACTTCTGAACCACCCAGTTCTCGAAATTTGTTACCATGAAGCTACTTTTCTCTTCCTTAAATATTATTATTTTAATAGCACTGAAGAAATTCCTGGCTTTGTATGGTCCTTAAAAGTGCTTAGGTTTTTTGGAATTGATTTTTGGTCTTTAAAAGTCCTTAGTTTCTGTCAAAATCGGCAAAAGGTCCTTAATTTTAATCATCAGAAATTTCTGCGTGTTTTTATGACTGCCATTATGAGTGTGAATTAGCATTCTGGAGGTATATTTTTGGTGATTCACTGACAAATATGGTTATCTTTTTAATTGGTGAATGGGTTCATGGATTATAATTTGTTCCTATTTCTAATATAAATAGTCAGATACTCGTGTTTCTGAGCAAGAAGTGAAACATAAGCATTTTGAAATTATTTCATTTTTGTAATGAAGAGCTCTTAAACAACTTTTTACATTTGGGGATGGGCTTTCTTTTATTAAACGGTTCTAAATTTGGTGACCTATGGACATTTTGGCGTTTTTAAGATCAGTTTCTACAGAAAATTTTTAATTCGTAGATCTGGGAATTTTTCGATGATTATCTTAAAACATTGTAAAATTGATAATTTTCACTAAAATAATAGTAATATATTGAAGTTATACTTAAAAAATAACATTAAAATAAAACATTTTTATTTTTCGATGTAATTTCCACATTAAACCATGAAAGAATTTTAGTTTCGCTGTCACAAAGTTGCATTTTGGCCACTTATACAATATTTTGAATCTGAAAAATAAATAAGGTATTATGCTTAAAACACAGTTTATGAAATAGTTCTTAGCAAAAGCAAAATAGCTATGTAATTAATTAATTTTGGCCACTTATACAATATTTTGAATCTGAAAAATAAATAAGGTATTATGCTTAAAACACAGTTTATGAAATAGTTCTTAGCAAAAGCAAAATAGCTATGTAATTAATTAAAATGTCTTATTTTTAATTTTTTCATGGTAAAAGGTTTTCCCATGTAATTAATTGTCTCAGGATATTCAGAATTCTCAAAATATGCATTAGTTTTCTCTATAAAATAAATTTTACACTTTTTTCTCTGTGATTTTTGTTTCTAAAATATTTCTGTCTTTCCACTGTTACAGAATTGGTAGGGGTAATTTTTTTCAGAATTTTAAACATTGCATCTTAGAAAGTTTAGAAGGATTTGAAGGCAAGATTTATTCTGGAGAATTCCAGAAAAATGTGACAAAATGAAAAATATCTCCATGGTATTAACACGTAATGGATGTATTTAAGAGAAAGTTTTCAATGAATTTTATACGTTTTGGAGGACATCTGAAAGAAAAATAAAAACAGAATATTTTTCTTCTGATACTAGAAGCATGTTTATCTTCCCTTTAATTTTCTTACTTTTCACTACACAGAAGCATAAAAATGCTTCTAATCTAATCACAATGGACAAACATTATAGAAAGAAATATTTTTATTAATAAAGAAACTGAAAACTGACAATTTAAAACATTCATCTAATATGTCTTAATGCATCATACACAAAGTTGGCACTAGGCATTTTCCCACCTGATGCAGTCTCCTGTGGATCATAAATTCCACCTATCGCCTTTCTAAATTCTGCTTCGCTGCTCTAAATTCTTTTTTCCATTTCTAGATTTTGTTGCTCCATGTGTCATTAAATTCTAAAAATTCTGCCACACCAGCTCTGTAAATACCAAATATATTTCATATTTTTTCTGAATGTTCATATTACTAAAGAAATGAAATTAATAGCTTTTTCTATACCTTCTAAATGCATTTAGTTTTTTTACAATAGCAGAAATCTTTAATTAAATCCAAAAGCTCTATTAGGTTGTCCGGAAAATAATGCAGGTTTTTAACCTATATCTTTAAAGTATACTCAACTCAAAAACAATTTTATTAATCAAAATAAGCACCAGCCCAATCAATGCATTTTTGCCAACTAGATATAAGTTTATTTATGCCCGCAAAATAAAATTCTAGAGTTCTGGATGTGATAACGTTGTCAAAGGCATTTTTGACCTCGTCTTTGGTTTCTGAAGCATTTCTTCTGTAGAATGTTATCCAGATGTTTGAAAAAGTGGTAATCGGTCGACGACAGGTCAGGCGGATATGGGGGAAGAGGGAGAGTCTTTTATGCCAATTCGTTCAATTTTCTGTAGGGTCAGTTGCACGACATGCGGCCGAGCATCAATGGAATGAGGTGGAGAAGAACTGGCCGCTTTTTGTTGACCAATGCCGAGCACATGCGTTACAATTTTTGGTGCATTTCGTTGATATGCTGACAGTACTTGTCTGCCGTAATCGTTTCTCCCACATTTAGGAAGCTGTGGTAGATGAGACAGACCACCAAACAGTCACCATAATTTATCTTTTGGTGCAAATTTGGCTTAAAGTGCTGTGGTGTCTGACTGCAGTCTAACCACTGAGCTGAATGTCAGAGAGAATCCACTTTACTTATCCTGGATACCGAGGCCTTCGATACATCCAAAAGGCATGCAGTCCCAGTAGCAGATACACCAGAGAAAGGAGCACCAACCAATTGTGTATTTTGAACTCCGTGTATCTCCGTGACTGTTAGATTCTCACTGTTTGAAGTCAGTACTTCCAATACCACTAGAAATTCAAACTCCACATCTTGTTGCTAAGAATTCCGAGGCATTCAGGGTTTCCAGACGGAAGCGTTAATGCTGGTTTGAAATTTGGAGTACTATATTCGCCTGCTATTACTTTTGTCGCCTACTATTATTTGTGTACTATTTTATTATATGTTGCCTGCTATTATTGCCTAACCCCTATAAATATTTGTTGAAAAGTATTTTATTATGTAGCATTGTTTTTTATATTATTTAATCCAATGAGCTTTGCGTCTCCGCCTCCCCAATTAATTTTTATCGTACATATTGTAATAGGTTCACATTCACGTTTATTCTTTTAGATTTTAATGCATGGAACAATGCTTCTCTCCTTTAAGTCTAAATAAAAAATAGGCTTTATTTTTTTTTCTAAATATTACGTGAGAATTTACTAAACTAGTGTAATTTATTGATATTCAATGAGTTTTTTAAAAAAGAAAAAAATAACATTAAGCTTTATAAATCAGTTATTTCATTCTGTGAAATGAAAATTAAAAAAAAAATGAAATGTTAACCAGACTTTTTTTAAACAATTAAAAGCACACACCACCACAATTTTATTTCTTCAAAACATTGTGTACTGCACGATGTTTGGCAATATTTTTTATGTTTAGACAATGAACATCAAAGAAGCTGATAAAGCTTGACAAAGTTACCTTTATTATTATATTCTCTGCTGTAGTAACAAATTTTGCAAAGAAGCAATATTTATCTGCGATCAAAATGACAACACTATTTAATAAATTAGATCACAAACCAAGTTGCGTTTGTTACACAATGCCTCTCGATTGTCTATAGTTTGTTTATATTTAGGAATAAGTGTTCTCACATATGTACAACATCACACAGAAGGGTGAAACTAAGTCTCTACAGTTTTATAAATGCTATGATGTAAATGGTAGTGACTTTTCCAGTTCCTAATTTATTCTTAAGGTAAAAGAGATTAAATACTTTTGAAATAGATTTGGTTTATGATGTAATATTTTAGAATTCTAACCTATATGATATGCAAGTATCCCTGAATTTTTAATTCTGCCATTAGAAGTTTCTTTGAAATTTATTCTTGCCCTTACAAACTATAATTTAAGGAAAAGAAATCTGTGTATCTATTTTTTGTTGCAATTTATTTTCAGTCAATTCAATTTTTTTAATTTGATTAATTAACTTTCAATTTATTTTATTTTTTCAACTTATAAAATTTTTATTTGTTTCATCTTTTCTACTTACCACATTTCTATTATCAAACAAGATTATGATAAAATTATGACTTAACACGCAGTTGTAATTTAGATTTTACAAAGACAAATGATGTGGCATGTAGCCTCTTCAGAGTAAAGAGGCAATTTGAATTTCCTTTATTTCCAATCATCTAGCACATTTCTTCCTTATTTTACCCCTACTTTGTGATGTTGTACAAGTTTTGAAACACTCGACAAAATTACCATATCAAAACCTCTTGCTGAACAGGATTTTGGTCTGCTGCATTATTAACTACCATACCAGTCACAACCGAAGAATTGTCAGTGCAGGAATGTTATCCCCTCTTAGCCACTGAAGAATGCCATTTGCTTTGAACAAGGTTTTGAGCAATTACTAATCACAGACGATATTTACAGCAAACCCACGGTTTCGGGTGGAAATAATTCCCATACTTAATAATATTTTTCTAATTATTTTTGTAAATCTGCAGCAACTGATAAACTTTTATCTGCTCCGAAGATGTGCTTTCGAATTCTTGATATCTGAAGAAAACATAATTACTGTTTTTCGAATGCCAAAGCAAACTAAATTTTCCACGTGTTATATACAGACATTTAGGATAATATATACCGATTTAACGAAGATATAAAAAGAAATATCTAAATGACATCTGGCTTAAATTTCATTTTGGTTGCTAATCAGGCTTAAATTGTCGGTATTCAGTTTCTGTTCTGTGTTAGTAGGGTAGACTTAAACTGTCATTTTTATTTTACTAAATTTAAGTTTCATTTTATTTCGAAACTAGATTAAAGGACAACTTTTTAGTTTAGTAAGGAATGATATATTTCTTTGGAATTCTTTGATTTTTTGCAGAAATGTATTATGATAAAATAAATTTAGCTTTCGGATAACTGTTTTTGCACATTAAAAACAAATATAGCTGAGTGCATTGGAAATACTTCCCTCCGAAACCGGGGTTCGATCTCGTCTATGTTATATTTTTTGCGTTCCTTGTTTCCACTTATATGCCATTACTTATCTCCAGTGGCTCTGGAGTAAAAAGGGTATTTCTTAACAATGTGGTTAAACAGTTATCCATCAGCCGAGAGCAGATAAAAGTCTGAGCTATTTAGAATTTATATTTAGTTAATAAAATTTTTTTAAAGTACATTTTCTGAGAACTGTATTTAAAATTACGGTACATTGGAATTCTATACATTATGTTCTCAATTATTTCCATTATGTTAAGGAATTATGCTTTTATAATAAGGAATTTTCAGTAAGTAAATTACTTCATTTGGAAAAGTTAGAACCAATTGCTGCAGATATTTTGTCAGTAATGTGTTTTTTTAAGTTAAAATTTGAATGAAATGAATCTTACCTCTAACTGGAGGTATTTTTCAATCATTTCTTCAGTTAAGAGGTAACTTTAGACTATGGAATGAATTTATGCGTATCGCAAATATTTAAGAACTATTAAGTATCTATCGTAGCGATAAAACAGGAATATGCAATATAAACTTGAAGTATTTTAAGATCTATAAAAAATTATAAATTTCTACCGAGGGGATGTTCAGACATGCACTGTTTATCACAAATTTCACTATACATCTATGAATGTGTGTGTATATATATATATATAATATCACTTTTTAAGTTTACATGGAATAAGAGAAATTTTAGTTACAGTTTTCGTTTCATATGAGTATATATTTTGTTGTAATTCAGGGTTTATGCACATCATATTAAGTTATATACACTGAATATTTATGTCATATCTTAACCTACTAGCAGTCACACATTGTTATTAGTATTGTAAGAAGAATGGTTTTAACTTTGAATCTAATGTGGATTGCATTTGAAAATGATAATTATTTGGATAGACATAGAGTATAAGATGTGTGCCAGCAATACGGCAAACATAAATGAATACTAAGGAGTTAATTTTACAAATGCACAGACAGTTACGTCAATAACAGTGGCATAGCTTCAGATTGAAAATTACTGTATTCAGTAATGCTTGAATTTATTTATAGATTCAAGGTGAAAGAAAAAACTAGAAAGTAACTTTTTTCCTAAATTTCCTTGCTTAAAATTCCTTCCTTTGAAAAATAAAATATGGAGTTAAAAATGGAATAAATAAAATCCCTGCAATGCCTTTTTTGTGTTGTATGTTTCAGTTGAAAGTATGATTTCAGTTGTTTAAAATAAATAAGTACTATGCCACTGTAAGACTGATCAAGAAAAGCTGGAGGACACACACTGGCCAATCATGTAATTGTTCATTGGCACAGTCAAGTATTCTACTTTTATGGCACTAAGAATTGAAGAATGCGTTTATCGTTGGTCTCTTGTATATCCAACCTTAAACCATCTCTAAGATGGTTTTGAGCCACAGTTTCTGTCCTCAGAAATCTCTGAGTAATGTTGAAACTTAACAGTTAGTTTCAGAGTCTTAAATTGACTAATTCCTGTACATATATTCTTCATTATACTGCTGCACACTCGATGAGTTGCAACGGAATACACCCAAATGCGCCACTTAAATGGCATGAAGCGGTGAAACGCTTTAACCTCTGTACATCATTATGATTGGTTTCCCATTCTAAAACGAAAAGTTCCTGTTATTGTCCAGTCACTTTTTATATCCATTTTGGTTCACTGTAGCGACCTTGACGAAAAGCCTTGTCTCTTAATTTTGAACAAGAAATATTTGCTTCTAATTTTTCTCTACTTAAATTAAGCTAACTTGCTAATCGTGACGCAAAATTTTTGTCACATTTAACTACTATCGGTAATTTAAACTTCGATTTAATTTAGTAAATAAAGAATTTAAAATGAGCACCTTATTCCAGATATAGTTGTAATTTCTTTAACACTCTCATTAATATATTAAAAGCATCGTTTCAAATATTTTTTTGAGCTAGATACTTGAATGAAGGCATAAAAATAATAAGTGCACTATGTACTGGCTAGAACTGTTAAAAATTTTGGAATTCATGTGGAAGATTTCTCTCTGAGTTCAGGTTAATCATGCCTCAAGATCCAATCCTCCCAGAGCTGTGTTTTAAACAATATTGAGCAGAATCCTGCAAGATGAGGTAATTCAGCTCATGGTAATAATACTTTGAAGGTATTACAAGCTCTTGATTGTCCTCTTGGATCTAAGTATCATAATTCTTTAACTGCAGCGAGATCTTTGGAGTGCAGCCATTCATCCTAAACTGCAGAGAGGAAATCAGATGAAGGAGTAAGGCCCGTCAGTCAAGGCGCTACAGTGCAGAAGTCAGGAATTGTCTTCTTTCGGTTCTTCCCCTCGGTTCGGTTTGTATTCAAGGCCAGGATCGAATTGCATCAGCACGAACACCTACAAAAGAACATATAATTAAGTGTGCAGTGAATTCCACAGTGTACCTTGTTAGTTAATTTTTAATGCAGTATTTGTTTCTATTTATTTAACATAACTTTTATTGAATTTGTCACAGAACTTTTATAGAAATTTTAGGGATATTTAACGGAAGCTTATTTTTAAGTTAAGCTTATCCTAATGGGGTGTGGTTTTTTTTTACTCCAAAGGGATTTGAATCCCGAAAGACTATTAGTTTCGTTTTAGCATTTTGCGTCGGACTCATAAATGTCGGTTCACTTTTCAAACTGTGCCACAAAATGTTAGAGTCCTGCATTATATTTGAAGAAATTAAATAATGAAAAATCTGCATAAATGTATGTATATTTCTCGTATTGTGATAAAACAACGGTACATAGAGTCATCGAATTTTGAATAACGTAATCCTCCAACGAATATGAGCATGTGGAAGACCAAATTGAAATTTGAGATTTGTTTTATGATCGATTTCCTATTTTTTAAAACTTTGACGAATTTTTGATTAACAAACTCAAGGATTTCAAAGCGAGCAATGGCAACGTTGTGCAGAAAAAACATTTTTATCTCCAGCGCGTGAGTCTCTGTATCGGAAATTCTAAAGATATGCTCGTTTTAAAACTATTTTGCGATATTGCTGTTGCACTGGATCTTATGGTTTAAGTGCGAGGAACATGATATTTAATAAAGAAAGGTAACACACAAAATGTTAAAAAACGCCCCTTTGGACGTAATTTAAAATCTGAAACATTTCAGATTTTTTTTTTTTTTTTTTTTTATTTTTATTCTTTAGTTTGGCTATTTAGTATTCCTAAGTCCAGTTCAGATAGCTTCGGACAGCATAATGTGCAGAGAACAGCAATGAAGGCGAATCTGTGTGAGTAGATTTCTCGCCCTCTTCAAGTGCTTGCCAATAATTTCTTTTAGTCCGTGAAATGAGCTGATAACCTCAACTGGAGCAGTAAATTAAAGCAAAAACTCAACAAGAATTATATTGGCACTAGAATTTTACGTAATAAAACACAAACTGAATATCTCACGAAGTAGCTCATGAATTTGAATTGTTGCAAAGAGAGAGTAATGCAAAATTGTGTAATGAGAGGTTAATGCAACGATATAAAATGAAAAAGAAAGAATAATCCTTGTGATACAGACATTTAGGGAAAAATACCAAAATCTTGAAGTAGATTTCCCGAGAGGAGGCTAGTTCAACCTCGAGACAGCAAGGCAATTGTTGAAATGTCTTCTCATAAAATTAACAAGATTGATAAAAAGTGTGTATGCAGTCTATTTTACACAAGAGTGGTTTCTGGCCGATCTTAAAAAAGGGATCTAATGCTGTAGAAATAAATCCAAGAAGTTGGTAACATCGGCAGCAGATGACAGCAAGATCGCTCAAGAATAACATTAGAGAGATGAACCAAAATTAATAGACTAGAGCGGTAGTTAAATAAACATCCAGACAAGGAGCTGTTTCTTTGAGTTGAGCATTGGATGTGAAAGAATGAAATCGAGGCAGATTGTGTGTACTATATGCTAGCAGAAAGAGGCTTTTCGAAGTCTAGTATTGTTTACCCTCCCTCCATATTCTGCCACAAAAGAGCTTATTTTTCAAGGTGCCCTGAAAATTAGTTCTAAGATCAGAAATAATGGGCCTTTGTTCTGTTCTCTATTTGGTCAGCATTCTGAAGAAAATTGATTCTGGACGTGTTTTTATTTAAGGAAGTAAAGGGTACATGTTTTCATTTCTCCTGTATAAATAAGACTAACGGATATGCAAAACACAGGCATCTTCACTTTTGTAGTCAAATCGTTTGGAACAGGAATTGAATTCGAGATTCTAAATCTTCGATAACTGCGTATTAACTATAACATATTTCAACAGTATTGATAAGTTAGCTATAAAAAAGAAATTTAAATAGACTGCGATTCTTTTATCGAGTACCGTTGGGCGATAACTCATTATCATCAAATCAACAGCACTCAGCTAGAACTAAAGTTCATAGAGGATCTCCGCGAAGAAAATGATACTTGCTAAATACAATGGTTTGCTAGAAGCATCCGGATCCAACTCTACAGAGCACCTGTGCTCTAGAGTTGGTCAGAGAACCATATGAACAATCTCTTAAGTTACTTCCTTAGTCAAAATCAGCGCGCATGGAAAAATGGAATGTATTGAAACAAATATTTCTCAACAATTTCAGTAGTCATGAGAGTTCGAATAGTTGTTATGGTGGTTCTTACGGGATTTTTTCCCTGGTAGATATGTTTAATATATTTTAGGTTAATTTTACAAAATTTAATACTACATATATTATTTATTTATTTACTTTTTACTATTATTACTCAAGGCATGAAGAACCTTGATTACACAATATCATTCAAATTTTTGAAATGGTTCCAAGGTATAGAGTATATTTGCTACCTTGATTTTCGGTACTAATGTATTTGTATCATCAAAATTCGCTCAGCTTTTAGTTAAAATTGTGCCAGCCTCTTTAACTGAAGTTTGACTATTATTAATTTAGAATTCATTAGCTCTCATTAAAGCTGAACATAGGAATATTGCCTCTGGAAGAAGCAGAATATTTTTAAGTTGCCTTTTTATTTTGAGCTGTTGGCAATAAGCTGCAAATTTTATGAAATGCAGCTTATCAACAGCTTTTAGCAGTTGATTTCTTTGTGCTTTTTCTCCACAGTAAAGCTATTTAAGTTCTAATTGGACATTATAGTGACAAATTCTACTTTCGTTTCGTGTTAATTTTAAATGAGTATGCGGGGAAAGTTTCATTTTTAGGGAAAAGGTTTTTAAAGTCAAATTGTTTTAGTGTGCTTTTATGAAAAAATGCGAATAAAAAAAGAAGTGGAATTACCATATCTGTGGGAAGGAGTGGAAAATCAGCAGGAGGGTTCGTGATGACGAAGCGCTTCGAGGAGGCTTCGCACGATGAGCTGGTATCCCTGAACCGGTAGAGCCCAATGCAAAGCATGCCGTAGCTGCGGAGGGCCGATACGAAAAGATCGCAGTATTTACCTCCCTCCTGTAAAAAGATAACAGCTTGCATTAATAAAAACAGTAACATATTTCAACTGGATTGATACATGTTTAGGTGAATATTGCGAGCAGTGTATAAGGGCAGACTGTGAGTACTTTATACCTTTAGCGTATGGCAACAAAACTATTTGGGTAGAATGTTGTGTTTGTGGCAGGTTGAATGTATCGCTTGGTTTGCATGGCTTTTCGTATCTAGAATTCGTGCAAATAAATAAAGGTGAAGGAAATTCATTTGGTTTGTGGTGTGAAATATTAAGCGAACAACCGCTGGGAAACATTAAAAGTGACGTGTCATTTCTTTGTTAAGTCATGATAGAATCAAGATAGTAACTGATTGTTCTATGCATTGCACTGCAATTACGCAACTGCGTATGTTAGCGATGAACATTTATATTCACTTTGTGAGGTAAGTGAATATTCAACATTTACATTCTATTAAAAAAAAAATGTGGCTTAATCCTAGAGGAAAGCCGCACTAATCAAGACGTTGTTTAATTGCCTTAGGCTTGGACACGCTCTTTTATAACGTAATATTGAGCCACTAGCCAAAAACACGTTATAGTTATGCTATAACTTCACATTTTAAGAAAATTTAAATTATATTTTAACTGAGTTGAAATGTTATGGTTGTAATGTTACTGCGCGAGATTATTTTTATTATAAATCAAATTTATTGTGTGTTATGTGTTAACATAACAAGTTCTTAAAAATGCATGATTAGGATTTAACAAACGATTGAAAATATTGAATAAATGATTTAAAATTATAACCGTAACTACTCGAAACAAAGAAAAATAATTATTTGGCTTATTCTTTAGAATTCTTTAATGAATATAAAGTTGGATTTTGATTTTTTTTTTTTTTTTTTTTTTTTTTTTTTACACCGATTGAAGGATTGCAAGGTAGATATGAACTTTGTAGAACGAAAGATCTATATAGAGACATTTGAGTAGATATGTAGAGGTATGCGAGGCGAATACAAGCATCGAATTACAAATTCTGTTCGAAAGGATTCCTGGTTTGTGATTGAGTAAATTCAGCATCTGCGGTTTTTGCAAATTACGTGTATGTAATTGGGTAAGTGCTGGAATGATTTTATATGATCTGAATTAAGAATAAGTAAAAAAATTGTGATAGATTGGTTGAAGCCTCAGGTGCCGAGATATTTTTACAAATAAGTAAGATTTTCGTCGGAAAGAGTAAAATCCTCGTATACACTATGCTGACTATAGTGAAATATCGGATGCACGTCAGATTTAGTAATTTCATCATTAGTTAATGAAATTATTACGGTAGCTTTATTTTCATCGTTGGATCATTTTTCTGGAAACGTTACTTTTTTTTAGAAATCGCATCAATTGGAGTTATGGGCCATTTCAGTACTATTCCGTTTTGAGGACCGTAAAAAATCGCCAAACTATTGTTGATGACAGTGCTGCCAAAAATAATTGCCGCAACCCTAACGCAAAAAAGGAAGTATAATAGTAAATAACTATCTGAGATTATTGTTTTAATTTAGATGAAAGGTTAATTTCATATAATACTTTTTTATTATTATAATTTATATAAAAAAGGCTAAACATAACTGAATGGAAGCATAAGAGTAAATAACTATTTCAGATCATTATTATAATTTATATAAAAAAAGGCAAAACGTAACTGAATGGATTCCTGCATCGCTATTACACTACAGAGTTATCGCTAAAGCATAGTTTCATCTCGTTGGTTGTTCAAACATAATTTTCTATAATGAATGATGTCTTTTTCTTTGAAAAAATTCCTTTTCAGGACTTTTCGTCATGGGCAATTCCCAAATTGTTAAATCCATAGGATATCAAAAAAGGATTTAAAAATAAAACTAGTATTTCAATGGGATCTTAAGAAATATAGAACTATCTAAACGTACGCAATTTGAAATCAGCGCGTAAGCTAGATTTGGCGCTTTTGCTCATACAATTTCGCTACAGTTTTTTTAAGGTCTTCAAAATGGAATAGTACCGATATTTCTCTCTCGGTCATTTGTTCTACGTTTCTGATTGCTATCTGTTATTTTTAAAACGGCTTATTTTTAAAAGGTTAAAAACCGAAACCCTCTTTTATTTTCATTACATTGGAGTGTATGTTGAAATTGCAACTGTTCTAGGAGGATCATGACTGGTGCTCAGTGGTGAGGTTGTGAGCGATTCCGAGTGTGTGTTAATTCTACGATTTTTTTTTAAGCGTAAACAGATCGCTGTGTACGTGAATAGAACAATAGTTTATATCGTATATTATGTGCAAATTACTTATCGAGTGCAATTACAACAGCAAATACTATGTATTAAAATAATTATTAGTCCAAAGGGATTTGAATCCCGAAGGACTATTAGTTTCGTTTTGGCATTTTGCGTCGGACTCATAAATGTCGGTTCACTTTTCAAACTGTTGCCACAAAATGTTAGAGTCCTGCATTATATTTGAAGAAATTAAATAATGAAAAATCTGCATAAATGTATGTATATTTCTCGTATTGTGATAAAACAACGGTACATAGAGTCATCGAATTTTGAATAACGTAATCCTCCAACGAATATGAGCATGTGGAAGACCAAATTTGAAATTTGTTTTATGATCGATTTCCTATTTTTTAAAAATTTTGACGAATTTTTGATTAACAAACTCAAGGATTTCAAAGCGAGCAATGGCAACGTTGTGCAGAAAAAACATTTTTATCTCTCCAGCGCGTGAATCTCTGTATCGGAAATTCTAAAGATATGCTCGTTTTAAAAAACTATTTTGCGATATTGCTGTTGCACTGGATCTTATGGTTTAAGTGCGAGGAACATGATATTTAATAAAGAAAGGTAACACACAAAATGTTAAAAAACGCCCCTTTGGACATAATTTAAAATCTGAAACATTTCAGATTTTGTTTTTTTTTTACTGTTTACTATTGTAATTTCGCTTGATTTTATATTTTCCACTCGAAACATTGCGTATTATTATAAATTTGTGGTTTTTATTTTCGTATATTGTTTTCCTTATTGTGAGAAATTAGATATTTGCGAGCAATTGATGTATGGATTACTAATACGTATAATGTTATTTAGGAATCTAAGAAATAGTGAAATGAAAACTATATATCTTGTTCATTTGCTGGAAAAATTATGTTTTCATTAATACATTCATTTCTTGAGTTTGTTTATATCGTAATGAATATTATATACGTAGTAGTAAATAAGGAATTTTGTGCAATCCTATGTAAGGGATACTTTACGTCCAAGCTGCTCTCTAGAAATCCAGAAAGCTTATCCTTTTGTGTTTTCTTATCTTAATTAGAGCCTCACGAGTAGTGAGGTAGAATAAAGTCAAGTGAAAGTTTACCTGTTTGCTTATTTGGTGTTTTAGAGTTTAGTTAAGCTATAAAAGATAACTCGCATCGGAGCTTTAAGAAAAGGGATGAGAGTTGAAAATAAATACTTAGCTAGTTAGAAATAGTTTCTATGTCGTTATAACTCTTTTTTTTTTTTTTTTTTTTTTTTTTTTTTTTTCTGCAGTGGATTAAGAAGACATTCGGAGTACAGAAACATCTTTCATCCCAACTCCTTTGCATTTTCCTTCCTTGCCAAATCATCGCGTTATTTTAATTATTATAACAATTATTAATACTTCAATTATTAATACCTCAACTTATAACCGATAGAGGAATTCTCTCCTTGTCAAGAGATTTAAAATAGTCTCTATTTGAATTTTTCCTATAACTTCTTTGCATAAAATAATTCAATAAAACTTAAATAACAGTATTTGATGACGTATTATTATGAATTTACACAATTATTACTTAATAATCATGTATGATATTTTAAAATTAAAATAAATGAGAAAAAAAACTAAACTTTAATTTTAAAAAATCTTATTTAATTTTCTTATTAGTAATTTCAACCACATATAATAATAATGAATATTCTGAAACTTTCTGTCGAGGCAAAAATTCAAACAGCTTCTGGAGTTGGAGCGGTATTTTTAGAGATAAGACACTTCGAAATTCTGTGTCAGATGAGTGTTCCATGTTCCAGCTGAACAGGTTCTAATTTAACTCTGAATAATTCATGATGTTGTTACTTATCTCACTATTCTGGGTTAATCTTTGGATTATGGTAACTTGGCGGTTTTTTGGCGAAAGTTTGGCGACCAACCCTGCTACAGCAAACTGCTAGTTTTCTTTTGGACGCCATTTTGTTTTCACGAAGTAAAGGCATGTTTTTTTTTTTTTTTACTCACCATTTTTTCCAACAATCTGCTAGCCGAATTCCGCTTATACTAGAACTTTTATGGAGCAAAAATGCTTAATCATGACGAAAATTAGGTACGAAATTGGGAGAAAGTGCAGAACCCCCCACTGCTTGCCGCGTTTTTAAGAATTGCACATACACGGTATCATCCATGTACACGTCGACCTATTTTCAATTAAAAAACATCCCAGAATTGCACAAAAATGGCATTGCGCACACTCTTGACTTTATCCATGTACACTGCTAAAGTCCTAGCTAGTAACCTTTATCCAAAAATACTCACCAACTCGATCGACTCCGCACGGCTCGTTAGACGAGTCACACACTCTAACCGACTGCGGACCAGTAGGGTTTATATAGCTTTCGGCTTATATTCGAGAACATTCTGGGCTAAACCGGTAAGAATTCTTTCCAGAAGGTTCTCCATCCGTCCATGGCATATCGCCAATTTTGTCGCTAAATGGGCGATTTCTCGCCAAATGTGGCAATCCTGCCTTCCCTTGCCATTTTATGGCAACCCTAAAGCTGCTTTGCGGGAAAGCCATCTTACCGCGCCTATACATTTCATAGCAATATAATTAGAAAATAGGCAGGTTTTTCAAAAAACAAGCATTAAATATTATTGCTTTAAACATTTCTATATATATAAAGAAGAATATCTGTTTGTTCGCGATTAACTCAGTCACTACTATAGCCTATTGTCACCAAACTTTCT